ATCAAAAGCTCTCCAAGGGTCTGTGAGTGAGCTCAACTGGATTCTTTTTTGGCCTGGGGACTCCTTAGGTCCTGCTAGGGATGGGGGAGGGGGGAGGCAGCATCATATAACAAAAAAGGAGCCAGGAGAAACAAAGAGACAGGGGCTGGGAGACTGAGGGAGAGCCATGGCAGGGACCTGTGTGCCTTGTTCACTCGGTAACTCCAGCATCCAGAACAGTGACTAGCTCATTGTAGATTCTCAGTATATGCTCATTAAATAAATGAATGAAGAAAGAAAGGTAGGGTTGATGAGAAACTGGGAGAGGAGGAACAAGGTGAGTAATCAAGTGATCACTGGCTAAGGCTCCTCACCCAGACTTCGCCCCAGAGCTGCCACTCATGCCCCTGTTGCCCTGGTAACTCTGTCTCCTGGTAACTTCAAAGTAGTGCAGTTGCCAGGAGACCCAGAAGCAGGGCGGAATTGAGATTTCCTGGGCTTTTTCTCTTTCTGGGACCAGATACACGTCTTCACAACATCCCCCAATACACCCACTCACACAGCCGAGTACTCCCACACCCCTCTACAGACACACACATCATGGCATCTCTGCATTTTTTCCATTTCCAGAATCCCCATCACCCACATGTTCACAGCCCTATCCTATCCTGACACAAAGCATCCCATACACACTCTCTCCCACATTCCCACCCCCGCACCCTTCCCTTAAGGGCACACACACCAGAACACTGATACAACTATGTGCCATTGCCACTACCGCACGCGCGCGCACACACACACACACACACGTTTCCTTTCAGCTAGTGTTCCTGCAGATATTTCTGTACATACAGAGTTAAGGTACACTGTTACACTGCCATATCAGAGATCCGAATCGCCCTCCCCCAACATATACACAACCCAAGATTCACCTCATTTTGCAATACTCCAAATCCACAAGCACCCAGTAGTGACACCTGTATCATACAGTTACATACATGGGAGCATTCTGAACACAGCCCCACCTCAGGTCCTTTGCATTTGCTGTTCCCCTGCCTAAAGCACTCAGCTTCCAGATATTACTGTGGCTCATTTTTCTACTCCATTCAAGTCTCTGCTCAAATGTCACATACTCAGAGATGCTTTTCCTGACCACTTGTGCAAAATCGCACACCCTTCACTCCTTCAGGCTTATCTATCTTTATTTATCTTCAAATAACATCACTTTCAACATTATGTATTTATTTTATTGCCTCTCTCCTCACTAGAATGTTACCTCCACCAGGGTAGGGTCTTTCTTTTGTTCACTGCTGGGTCCCTTGCTTCTAAAAGAGCACCTGGCACGCAGTAGATGCCTGTAAATGTAGGCTGAGTGAGTACATTGGCAGAGAGATGCTCTGCATATCTCTCATGAAAACAGTATTTCTCTCTCTCACTTCTCAGAACCCTGTCACTTGGCATATCTCTCATGAAAACAGTATTTCTCTCTCTCACTTCTCAGAACCCTGTCTTTATGTCCTGAAAGAAGGACGCTTAACAAAGAGGAGCTCCCTGGAGAAAGGTGAATCAATGGGTGAGGGGATGGGGAAGCGGATGGCTCAGGGTCAGTCTATGCTTCTCCCTTGCTTATCAACACCCTCCAGTTAATTCACTTAACAAATATTTATTGAACACCTACTGTGTGTCAGGCCCTGTTCTGGGCACTGGGGACTCAACGGTGAACAGAAAATGAAGCCTCTGACTTGACATCCTAGTGAGGGAGAAGATAATGACACTAAGCATAAGGAGGAATTTAAATAGTCTATGAGCAGATGTTAAGTGCATGCAAAAAAAAATGTTTGTACAGGTAAAGAAGGGGACTTGAGAGGTCCAGTTTTTTGTTTGTTTGTTTGTTTTGTTTTTTTAATGCAATTTTGAATAGGATGGTAGAGGCAGGTCTCAATGAGAAGTTGACAGTTAAGAAAAGGCTTGAAGGTAGTGAGTGAACCATGCAGATACGTGGGGAAAGAACATTTCAGGTGAGACATCTGCATGTGCTAGGCTGCTGTTATCCGCCTTCACAGAGGGCCTAGACACTTCTTTGTGTCCTGCAGCCCCCGTTTTGCACTTTCTTGGCCCGCGCTTAACATCAGAACCGTGGACAGCACCAACTGCGTTGGCCGAGGTGCTGTCCGCCGTGCTGAAACTTTGCTTCCTCCCTGGTCCGCATGGAGGCCCTGTGCGACAGGTGGGGCCACCAGTCTCAGGAGTGCGAGCCCTGAAAACAGGAGCTTTGGTCGGTAAAGCAAGAGGCTCCATGATTCTGTCCCTCCTCTGCCTTCAGCTCTTTCATGCTCTCTTCTCATTCCCTGTGGCCCACAATCAGGCCCACCACCTCCCCATCTCTCGTTCCCTGACCACCTCATGGCCTTCATGCTTGCTCTTCCCTTTGCCTGGAATGCTATTCCCTCACCCCGGGTATGTTCTTAGCAAATAACTCCCTGTCCCACAGTTGTCCCATTGTGTCCTCTAGTTTGAGTTTTGTCCTTATCACTTATCAATGTTTAACATATCAGAGATCCGAATCCCTGACCTAAATCCTTGACCCTAGAGTTTGGAATTCAAATTTTTTCAGATTTTTGAAAGGTACTATGGTGTAAATTCTATTTACTGCAAAACAGCCCTGGTGGGGCCTGGGATAGCACCCCCAAATCAACACTTTATCTGCAATGAAATATAAGAATGTTCATGTTAAGTTAAATAAATGAAGCTATAATAACTTCATGTCAGTTCGGGTCAGGTTTTTGCCACAAATGAGTTATGAAAAAAAATTTTGGTTTTCGGACCTTTTTGAAGTTTGGAATTATGGCTCTGTATATAGCTTTTATACCTTGTTTATTGTCTGTCTCTTACATGTTAGAATATGAGTGCCACGAGGACAGAAATTTGTGTCTATTCAGTTCACTGCTACAGCTCCTGTATCTAACTACACAGCACCTGGCACACAGTAGGTTCTCCATGCTATTTGATGAATGAATAAATGAGGGGAGAGGGGCAGCAGACTCCCCTTTCCTAGTCCCTGGATGACTCCATGCCCTGACTGGCCCTCGGAGCCATGATGGTGGTGAGGTGTCTGTGGCTTCCTGCCCCTCCTACTCTCCCTGGTCTCCTCTGGGTCTTCAGCACAGCATCACAATCAGAACCCCTGCTTTCATCCGTATTGCCAGGGGTTTGGCTTAGAGGTTCCTACTGCCTTCAGCATCTCCCTTCACAATCAGGACCCTCTGAGTGCCCTCACCCTATTCTCTGTGCTCTCCGCACCTTGGCCACAGTCAGAAACAGGCCAGCTGCCTGGGGAAGATAGCCATGTGAGGCCCCTCACTGTGGATTTGTGTGCCTTACATATGGCTTGTGAATCTGCATTTGACATGAAGAAACGAGGGCACAGAGAAGTTAATTAAGTTTCCTGAGGCCAGGAAATGTTGATGCAAGTTTTAAATCCAACTTGCTGGCCCCACGGCCCCACACTACCTCTCCACAGTCACTCTCAGATACACTGTGACAATATACTCACACCTAGCCTCACCAACACCTAGCCCCACAATTCAAGTCTTCCACACTCTGCCACTCAGGGGAGGAAGGCAGGTGGCCGGTTTTCTGTTACAAACAGGTCTTTATTAAAGATGAGGAGGAGGCAGGAAAGGGAGGCAGTGTTTCCTCTTCCCACTGCCTTTGGATGCCCCAAGGTTGGGGAGCCCCCTCTCTGCTCCACTCATGCCCCCCACGTTGGCACACCTGCATGAGGCTGAGGCACAGGGGTACAGTGTGAAGAACAGGGGGGGCAGTTTCCAAGAAAAAAGAAGTCCTTTCTCACAAATCTAATAAATAACAGAAGAGTTGGGGGTGACCTGGGCACAGGCAAGGGGATACAGCACCCTGAATCCTCAAACCTCTGAAATGGACACACCCTGCATAAGTAGGGAGTTAGGAGGGACTGGGTGAGACGGTACACTTGGGGGAGGAACTGAGAGGGGAAGGGATGCCCCAAGGACCCTACCATGGGGGAGCCTGCCCCCACCCTCTGGCAGGATTCTGATTCTGAGGCAAGAGGACCCAGTGAGAAAGGATAACCTCGCCTCCCTTCTCAATTTAGCACAGGCTTTGACATGGGTGGTCCCCCATTGGCTGGAATCATACCCACCCACCCTAGAAATTCCGAAAACCAAGGACTCATATTGGTTGTTCAGACGCTAGAGTTGCCCTCTTGCCTGAGGATTCGAAGAATTGAGAATGAGGCTCCCATTGGCTAAGGTAAACTTTTGGTTAGAATTTAGAGAACTGGAGGCTCCCATTGGCTTGGCAATGGCCAATAGGGTCAGGATTCAGACCTTAAAAGGGCAATCCTAGGGGGCAAGGGCCCACCTTCCAATTATGCCCACTTAGATGTCCCTGAGGGCAAGAGGGGGGATCCCCCAAATGTCCTTCCAGCCATCCTCTGATGTCTGGGCCTGGCTGGTTTGGGGACAGGGGCTTTGGCACTCACATGGCACACGCACACACACGTGTGGCAGGGAAGAAACGGGGACTGGGCAGATTCTGGGTAGTGGTCAGGCCTCACAGCAGGTGGTCACGACTAGCAAACAGGTAAGGGCTGAAGTTGTCCCGGTGGAAGGGGGAGGGATAGAGTCCGCTAAGGGTGTATAGGTCCCGAAGCAGGGGTGTGGGCAGCAGCAGTTTCCGGCCACGTCCACCACCCCCGCCCGGCCCCCCAGGCCCAGGAGAGGAAGGTGAGGGACCCTGGCTGGGGGTTGGTGCTGGCAGAGGCAGGGGCAATGGCAGGGGTGTTGGCTCAGACCTCAATCGAGGGCGGGGCACACGGGGCGACGAACACATGGCTGGAGCCCTGGAGGACACGCAGCTGGGGATCAGGTGGCCACGGCGGGCGCAGTTCTGCGGCTCTGGGGGTCAGGGATCAGAAGTCAGGGGGTCAGAAAGCTTGGGAGGAGGTGAGACCTCTGTGGCAGTGACCGCCATCTGGAAGTCTCCCCATTTATCCCCCCACTCCCTCGACACTCACTGGATGGGGTGAGCCGTGCCGGTGTCGAATGCGGCCTGCAGGCCTCGGGTTCCTGAGACAAAGAGGCAGAAGGATGGGGCTAGCGGCCCCCTGGGCCTGTTGGCCACAGCACAAGGAGCTCATTGGGTAGAGAGCCCGATGGAAAAGACAACCAGATCCTCAGGACTAACCATGTTCCCTTGGCAGGGAGGAAGGTGGCATACCCTTCACCTAGGTGGGACTATCTCCCAGGACCTATGTCCACAGAGATGGGCCGTCCCCCCACCTCCCCATGGCCCTAGGACCCCCCCACCTTTTGCCCGACTCCTTGCCTCCTTGGTCCTCTTCCACCCACCACCCTCTCCAGCCGGGAGCAGCCCCCGGCCCCCCTTACCTGGGCCACACTTAACTTTTCGAGGGGGCTGTCCATGGTGGGGGCTTGGCCCAGGTCCTCCCAGGGGGAGAGCCTTCGGCCGGAGGGCGGCCGGCTCTGAAAGTTGTGCACGACACAGGTGACCTGGGACACAAGGTGAGAAGCATGTTGAGGCCCGAGGCCCATTTTTCAGATAAGGAAACTAAGGCTCAGGCTTTCAAAGATGGCTAACATTTTTATAGTACTTACTGTGTGCTAAGAATAGTTCTTTCCACTTTACTAAGAGGTAGCTACTATTATTTATTCTACAGGGCCGAGACTAGGAGAAGGCAAGTAAGGCTAGGTTGTGCAAGGGCAGGATTTGATCCTGCCTTTATTTAAATTTTTTATTTATTACATTAATTTTGATTTTAAAAAGGGTTTTATTAAAATATTACTTATCTGGATTACTGAGTGTTTTACCACCTCCTTAAATTTTATAGTCAAAGCGAGTACCTCACTTGCCTCACTCTGGTCCCTGTTCTGTTGTTCCATTTCACAGATGAGAACATCCAGGCAAGGAAAGGTTAAAGGTCTCATCCAAGGTCACACAGTCCACACTCTTCACCATCATGCAGCCCTGTCTCTTGGGTCAGGGAGCTGAAGGAGGGTCTCCCATACCAGGATGAGTGTGAAGGGAGCTCACCAGAAAGATGGCAATGGCCGCCCCAGTCAGGAAGCCGGCCAGTACATCAGACCAGTGGTTGCGGTACTCAGCCACGCGGACCACGCCAACCAGGAAGGCGGGGCACAGCAGAGCAAGGCAGAGTGAGGGTTTGACCAGGCGGGAGCCCTTCACACGGAACACCAATGTCACGTACATCTGTGGGAGCCAGACCCATCAGGGGATACAGGTGGCACAGTTGCCAAACCCAAGTGGCCACTGTATTTTGGGCTGGGGGCACGTCCAGAATCCCCAGGATTGGCACTGGCCAGGGCCAGAGGATGTGGTTAGGCACTCCAGGGAACAGAGTCAGGGGACAGGAGTTCAGGGGATAGAGTCATGGATCCCCAGAGGGCCCTTCAGGGATGGGGGCATGGCCAAATCACCAGAGAGCAGTGGAATGCCTCTGGGGCTGAGTTTCTCAGGGATCGGTCACTTGCTGGGCTAGGGTGTGGCCACAGAACCAAAGAGTGGAGCCAGGGCCCAAAGGACAGGTCCAGGAGCTCCGGGAGGTTGAATCCCCAAATTCCATGGGACATCTGACAGAGTTAGAAGCATGGAATCAAAGTAATAGGGGGTGCAACCAGGGAAAAGCGGGAAGAGTCAGCAAGTCCCAGCAGAGTCGAGTCAAGGACATAGCCAGGAAAACAAAGGGCGAAGATAAAGGGTGGGGGTACATGGGCAACAGGGCATGGAGTCGAAAGCCCACTCACCCAGTCTCCTGGCCAATATCCAGGACCTGTAGCATCCTGGAGACATGGCTAGGCTCCAGGGACAGTGTCCTCGACCCGCAGAGGCGAGTCAACAGCCTCCCTTGGCCCTGGCATTACTGGGTCAGGAGGCGTGGCCAGACACCAAGAGGTGCAGTCAAGAACCCCAACATACTCAGACTCAGGGGCGTGACCAGGGTCTGGAGGAGTTAGAGAGCTGGGGCATGGCCTCACCGGGGGAAGGAACTGAGGGCTCAGCCCAGGTGGCCTCCTGCCTGCTGGCCACCCCGCACTGCCACATTCCCATTCCGGGGCTCACCGCCGTGTAGGTGACTGCGTAGGCGCAAAGGGCAGCGTCCTTACAGGGGAAGGCACGGCGCGCAGCGGCCACCAGGCTGGGGCTGCCGGCGCAGGCACCCTGGTCGGTGACAAAGCGGTCGGGCCCTGGCCGGTCTGGTGAGGGCGGCGGGCAGCCCAGGGCCGTGTAGTTGGGGCGGCACACGGACAGGAAGTGCGGTGTGGGGTTGCCGGTCACCACTTGCCCCGCGTTGGCGAAGATGGTCGTGGTGAAGAGGCCGAAGGAGTAGACCCCTGGGGGTGGAGAGGGAGAAAGAGTTCATGGGGAGGGGGCTGACGCTCCAGTGGCCCTCCTCTTGTGAGACCACTTATGGTTCTTCTGGGTCCCTGTCTCCTTGTTCCGGTGACCACCATTAAAGCACCTGGGACTCCCTTTAATGCCATACATACCTCATTATAGCTGGGTGACCATGGGGGCACTATGGGTCTCCTGCCTCCGTCTCTCTGGGATCACCACTACGTCAGGAGTAGACCCTCCCCTGTAACCCCATTAGAGCTGGGCTGGGACCCCTCAACAGCATTACATCAGGACTGGGCTCATGCCTGGGACCTCCTTGGACTGCCCTGATGGCATTTCTGGGCCTGCTTATACCTGCCCTGGAAATGCTATTACTGAGTTGATAACTTATCCCTTGGATAACCAATAAGCCAGAGCTGGATCTCCTCTAATCCCCTCCCAGAGGGATCACCATTACGGATAAGCCGTGCCCCCTCCCCTACCCATTGTGGCTGGGACTACATTTATTTATTTGTTTGTTTGTTTGTTTGTTTGTTTGTTTTTTAGGCGAGACAACCCTTGGTTGACCTCACAGATTGCAAGGACCTTGTCAGCTTACAATCCCTTATTTATTGATTGATTTTTAATTTTTTATAGCACCTGGTCTTCCTAGGTGGTCTCCCATTCAAGTACTAACTAGGCCCGACTCAACCCTGCTTAGCTTCCGAGATCAGACGGGATCAGGCTTGCTCAGGGTAGCATGGCCGTAGACTGGGACTACATTTAATGCACAGCTTAGGTCTCATCTCCCTGGGGCTCCATGGTGTTTGGCCTGAGCTTGTGTCCCCTTTTTATGAGATTCTCCTTGTGGCAATCTGGGGCCCTCCTCTTACAGTTGCCATCATGGTTGGTTTAGGCCCCACCCATGTCCCTAATACCTCTATTATGCCTGGCCCGAGCCCAAGTCCCTCTTTGCCCCTGAAGGTGCCATTATGGCAATTCTAGGCCCTCCCCTACCCCGGAATCCTGATTATGGATGAGCCTGGCCCATATGCCTTTGTGTGGCTGACCCCTGGTCCTGTCACTCACCCAGGAAGCGGACCAGCCTCCTCAGTGGGGGGCTGAAGCGGCAGCAGGCCCCAGACACGATGGTGCTCTCCCTGATGATGGGGATGGCTGAGGGTGGTGCGGGGAAAAAGGCACGTGCCAGCTCCCCCAGCAGGATCTGTGGGTGAGACCAAGACAGGGTCTTCCTGGCCTTCAAACCCAGCCCTCTGCCTACCTCCCCCCACCTGGCCCTCCTGCCTCCTGGGAGGTCCTCCCATAGTCTACTAAAACTACCCCCAATCTCACCGTGAGGGTGGGTCCAGCGGTGACCAGGGCGTAGATAAGTGCAGGAGGCGCTCGGCTGGCAGCCTCAGGCCCTGGGTAGGGCTTGGCGTAGGTACTGTCATAACAGAAGAAGCCCTGGGTGTGCACAGGGAAGGTGTCCGTGAACTCCAGGCGGTAAGCAAGCAGGACCACCACGCCCAGCAGCACCGACTGCCGCCCAGTCAGGGTGGAGGGAGAGATGGAGAGAGATGGAGAGAGAAGAGTGAGGGTCAGGCCTGAGCTGGGGACAGGGAGAGAGAGACACACAGAGACATGGAAACAGAGAGTGATCAAGACTGAAGGAGATAAAGAGTGAGAGAGACAGAGAGGGGGGGAAGTGGGGAGAGAAGGGTCAGGGTCTGGGAGACACAAAGAAAGAGATGGAGACGGAAATGGAAAGAAAGAGAAGACAAAAGTGGAGGTGAAAGAGAGAAGAGGGAAGAGGAGAGAGAGAAAAAGCAAAGACGAGAAAGAGAAGGGACTAGAATGGTAGAATAGAGGAGAGAAGAGATGGGATTGGGCAGAGAGAGTGAGGACATGGCTGGGACTAGGCCAGAGACACACAGACACAGTGGGTGGCAGAGTGACAGATCACCAGGGGAAGAAATAATACTACTAGTAGAACGAGCTACCACAGGTATAACCCTAATTGTGGGTGAGGTGTCATACTACATCCCTTCTGTGAATGAATACATTTTACCTTCGTAACAGCCCTAGGAAAGAGGGACTCTAAGTATGCCCATTTGACAGAAGAGGAAACCAAGGCTCAGGAGGATATGTGAAGTGCCCAGAGTCCCGCAGTAAGGATGGACAGAGCAGGATCAGAACCTGGGAAGTGCCACTTCTGAGTGCAAGCTCAAGAGAAAGGGAACAGCATTCTCACTCCCCAGAGAGACAGGGAGTGAGAGATCAGGGAGAGAGAAGGCAGGACTGGAGCCAGAGAGATGGAAAAATAGGTCCAGGTAGGGACCTAGCCAGGATGAGGGAGACTGAGGTTAGGCATAGAGGGGACAGACAGACAGGTAAACCCCCTTCCCATTGAGAGTCTGAGGGAGGTATGGGGCTCCTCACCTCTACGAAGACAAAGCAGGGAATGATGGAGAAACTCCTTTTCAGCTGAGGTCTCCCTCCTGCCATGGTGAAGGCTGGGGCCTGTGGAGGTGGGGAGGGCGTGGGGTGGCAGGGGTGGGGCCTAGGGGGAGGCTCAGATCACTGGCCCCCATGGAGTCCTCTGGCCACACCCATGGCCCCCCAGAGGACTGCCAAGGAGCTCTGGCTCCACCCCCTGAGTCTTCAGACCTGGCCTCTGCATATCCAGGTCTTGGCCCTGCCTCTGCCTGTAGGAGGCATCAGCCTCCCCTGACACAATCTGCTCAGCTCAGCCTGTGTGGGGGGAACCCTAGATTCCCTAGTGGTCTTCACCCCCTACAGTCTACATAAGAGATTCTGACCCCATACTTTCAGAAGGGCCTCTCCTCCCAACCAAGCAGGACCCCTCCCCTTGGCCTTTAGAAGAGACTTCCCTAGTTTAATGGGGACCCCTCCCCCATAGAGAAGGATCCATTTATAAAAGTCCTCACCCCTACCAGTTTTTAGGAGACCCTATCCTCTTTCCCCACATGCTTTACAGGGGACTCCATGCTCTATGTCCCCCACCCACACTGGGCCCCTCCCCTGAGCCCCTTCACCCATGGCCCACAGGTGCCTCTCTTCTGTCCCTGTGGTTCATTGCCAATGGCCAGGCCCTCCTTCTCCTTCTCCCCAGCTGCCTCTCCCTTTCTACCTCCTTCCAGCCCATCTGCCACCCTGTATGACTAGAGGGCTATCTCTTCTACCCCTAGAACTGAGGGGCTAACAGAGTCACACCTGCTTGACCCATTCCCCCAGCCTGGCCTCACCTGTGAAAGGGCCCTATGGCTTCCCACAGGCAGCCGCCACGCCCACGGACTCACAGCTGCTCCTGGTGGCCACCAGGGAAGGGATGGTCACCCCCATTGCACAGATGTGGAAACTGAGGCCCAGGCAGGTGAGGGTAAGCACTCTGGGTCAAGTACTCCATCCACAAGGCTTGCTCTGCAGTGCGACATGTGGGGTAAGGGTCACCAGGGGTCCCAGATGTACTTGGCTGTGGTTCCTTCACCCTCCCAGAGACAATCACCCACACTGTCGCCCCCAGAGTATACAACTCAGCCACAGACTCTGTCCCCCGCCAAAGCCCCTCCCCCCGCACACACACACCATGGCCCAGTATTCATCCATCTCAGCAATATGGACCAAGTGCCTGCTGGGTTCCAGGCACTTTGCTGGGTGCCATCCCAGCGGTGAACAAGACAAGCCTGCTGTTTCAGACAGGTGCCCAACACCCACTACACACATAAATGCATACTCAAACACACGGCACAGTATGCACAGACACCCACACAGATCAAACAACTCCCCTCCACACACACATACACAGTCGTGAGGACACAACAGGAGGTCCTTCACACACCTCAGAGCTCCACACATAGCCCCACGTGAGCCCTCACCCACCACCGTCAGGGAGGTGGACTCAGGGCTGCCAGCACCCTTAAGACTCACATCAAAAAGAGTCACCACACACAATAGGGGTGAGAGAACTGGTTACAGTGTCACACCCCCAATTCAGTGACAATCACACAAATTAACAGTTCTCATTCACACTGACAGCCATAAGAGATACACAGTGCCATCCACGACCACAGCCACATGGCCACACAAGGACACATACATGGACCATGACAGACATACACAGAGCCACACAAGAAAGGCGCATGATCAGCCACACACTAGAACGCAAAAATGGCCCCCCATACAACATCAGAAGGGAACACACAACAGCAGCCACACAATGACAGTCATATTGACACAACCATACAGACGTCAAGAGAGCCACACAATCACAGTGATAGCAGTTACAGTGACATAGCCACACACACACACACACACACACACACACACACACACCATAGAGTGATACCCACTATGACACTCACACAATGACAGCCACGGGAGACAGTCACACACACATCACACGGACACTCCAGAAGCCACACAATGACAGCTATACAGACACACAATGACAATTACACAATCATGCACTGACACATAATGACAACTCCACAATCACAGTCACCCTCACCACCACTGCTTAGCTTCTCAAGCCCAGGGTCCTCTCCCCACACTCCCCTCCCCCAACCCGGTCCCTAAGCTCCGGCTCGCCGCCTCCCGCCCCCCTTCATCCCTACGCTGGACCCGCATGGGACTCCATCCGCAGAACCGAACCCGGGCCAGACAGACAGACCAAGGGTCGGAAGCCCGCGAAAGAGGGTACAGGGGGCGCCCCAAGACCCTCTCCCTCACCGGGTCGGGACTGCTGCTGCCTGAGCCCTCGATCCTCCTAGACTTCACCGGCACTGCGGGACGGACAGACTGACGGCTGGCCTGGCTGGCTGGCGGACGAACAGATGGAATAGCTGTATGCCCGGGTCCGCGCGGCGCAGACTCCTCGGCGGAGCGAGGGGCGGGGCCTCCGGGAGCCTTATTTGCATAACTCCTTGGGCGGGGCCTCGCAACATCTCATTAGCAGGATCCGGGGCGGGGCCTCGGTTGTTCTTTGGGGAAGGGCGTGTTAGAATAGATTAGGGAGAGAATGAAGGATGGAGGTTGAGAGGGAGGGCTCTGGGTGAGGGGAGGTGCTAAGAGAAAGAAGAGGGCGGAGCATCAGAGCGTGACTCTGGGCTGCGACGCTCGCTCTCCCGGCCTCAGTTTCCCCATTTGGGCAGTAAGGGCAGCAGGCCAAATCGCCAGGGCACCCCAGAAGGGAAGGTAGGTGGTTAGTGTGAAAGAGTCTGTCTGGCCACTCATATCTGGACAGACTAACCCCTGACCTTGTCATATATTAATATGGCCTCACACTGTCCTCTGACCCTAGGCCCATACGTCCCAAAAAGCCCCTCCCCAACACTGAGAAGTAAATGGGGGAGGAGTCGTTCTCAGGCACAGGAAGCAGCAGGAGCAACAGTTCACAGGTGGAGGAGGGTCTCGGCTAGTTTATTTTCTCTCTGGAGGGGTCTTCAGGGAGAGCAGTCCCGACTGCTCAGGCTGTGGGGAAGAGATGGTGGGTAAGGGCCCGGCCTGGTCCAGGGGATCCCAGGGCGGGGGATCAGGACGCAGGTGCCTAGGTTGGGAGGATCCATACTGTGGGATTCCAGGGCGGGCTAGGAGGGGCAGGGCGGGTGGGGCAGGGGAGGAGCCACACCAGGTGGGAAGGAGCGGTTCTTGCTGAACGGTGGCTGGGAAGGGTCCTGGTCCGAGTCCGAGTCCGAGTCCCAGGAGGGGAGTGGAGGGCTCAGACATCTGTGTCCCTTGTAGCCTGCAGGAGGGACAGGTGCCATTCTGGCCCTCTATGCACAAATCCTGGATGTGACCTTTGAGCGACCTCTGAATATGGGCCAGTGTCCCTTGATCATGTTCCTTGAATGTGACCCAATGTAACACCAAATCATGATCTCAATAACCCTTGAATTTTACCCCATCGAGCCTTTAAAAAAGATCCTGGAGACCCTGAGTGACCCCCCTAAATGAAACCTCAAGGGACTCCTTAATGTGACCCCCACTATGGCCTCTGAACACAACCTCCATGTGTGAAGCTGGAGAGTGACTCCCACAACCTGGAGAATGACCCCCACAACCTGGAGCATGGCTCCACTCCCTCACCCCTGAGGCTTGCAGCCCTGGGGCGGTTCCCCGAGGACAAGGTGAGGCCATCAAAGGAGTTCTGCAGCACATGCACAGCGGACCTGTGGGGAGATGGGGAGCTGGGAGCCCTGGGTGACTCTGGGCTGCTTGGGGCTGGGGCAGCGGGATGTTGGGGGGTCAGGGTGGAGTGGAGTCCCGGATGGAGATGGAGGCCTGGACTCAGATGGGTTCCAGGTTCTGGTAGTTGCTGCTTGATCTGATTGGGTGCAGGGCAGAGGAGACGAGGGTCAGGGGTCAGAGATCAGAGTGGGAGCTGGGTATCACCATATGTCACTCAGCTCCTTCTGGAGGTCATTCTTCCAGGAGCCATTGCCTCCTAGTGGAGTGTCCTCTGTCTCCGGCCGGTTGGATGTCTCACACCCCTGCTGTTTCATCTTGGTCAGGACCTGGGGCCCAGAGTGGGGTGGGAGGGAATGAGGGAAGAGCAGTAGTAATAATAATGTTGATGGTGCAAGGTGACCATTATATGGCACCTATTGCATCCCAGGCTGCCCTCAAGGGGCTTAACACTCAGTTCATGCAGCCATCCCTTCAGGTAGGGATATGTTGTTATATGCATTACACAGATAAGGTAACTGAGGCCCAGAGAAGTAAAGAAACTTGCCCGCAATCACACAGCAGTAAGTGGCAGAGCTGAGATTTGAGCCCAGGCCTTCTGGCTCCATTCTGATGGTGGAGGCTGGCAGAGATGACCACACCCTCAACTCATGCAGGGTCACCATCCTCCCCTCTCACCTTGCGGCACTTCACCTGGGTCTTCTGCATCTTCTGGATGTTCACTAGATTGTCTGTGATCTCCTCCTCTTGGGCCTCTGTGGGGGAGGGGACTCAGGGAAGCTGGGGCGCAGAAGGATCCCCCTCCTGGCTTTGGCCTCCAGGCACTCACGGAGCTTCTGGTAGATGAAGGTCACCTCCTCCCGCACCAGCTCCAGCTCCTCCCACAGGAACTTCTTGCTGAGGAAACAGTGTAGCCTAGACCCACAGCCTCTGTCCAGGGTCTGGCCCTCTGGCCTCCCATTGGCCCACTTGCCTCCTCAGGCCTCCCCCACTTACCATATTCCCATCTGTACCACCACCCATTCCCCCTGGCTCTGACCTCTTTCCCCATCTGCTCACCACCTTTCCCCTCAAAACAACTATTTCTCCACCCCCACCCCCAGCCCAAGTCCTCTCCTCCCGACCTCCCGCCTCCCATTGCCTGGCCTCCATCTCCCCAGCCTCTGCCCCCCACCTCCCATATCCCCAGCCTCGGCCCCCCTCAATCTCCCCACTCCCCAGCTTCCTGAGTCCCTGGCCACTCTCCCCATTCCACCTCCAGCTTCCTTTCTTTCCTGCCTTCTGGCCTCCCAGTCTCCCACACACACATACTGCCTCCTGTCCCCCTCCCCGCCCTCCCCTCCTCTTATCCCTCAAGCCTTCCATGGTTCCCCATCCCTCTTACTCAGGTCTGTCCCATTTCCCTCAACCCGGCCTCCCTTCCCTCCCACAGCCTCCAGGCTGCCTGCCTAGCAACACCCACCTGTCCCGGATCTCCTGGGCCAGGAGCTGCAGGCAGCGGGTAGTACGGGCTCGCTGCACCTCCTCACTGTCACGCAGGGTCTTCTGCAGCCCCTGCAGGCCTTGAGCCAGGGCCCCATATAGCTCCTGCTTTCCCTGCTCCATGCCCCCCTTGTGTCCCTCCTTCTCTGTCTGGCGGCTTGTGGGATTCAGCACCTCTGCAGAGATGATGGGAACTTGACTAAGCCCCAACCACACCCTGAGCCCAGTTTTGAACCCGCCTTGCCCTAGCCTGGCCAGATCCTGACCCTGAACTCAGACTTACCCATTTCTCTCACTCTGACCTAACTCAACCCTAATAGCCTCCAGCATGACCTTGACCCTTGGTCAGTCCTCACCTTCAAGCTGTTGGATCTTGATTTGCTGCAAGCTGCTCTCCTTCTCCAACATGGTCACTGAGTGGTTTAGGAACTCAAAAGCCTGTAGGGGAAGAATTTAGGTCTGGAGATGGGAGGGAGCAGAGGACAGGGACAGAGGTTGCTGGGGGCAGGGCTGGCCGAGGAGGCTCACCTTGGTCTGGGCCTGTAGCTGGCTCTTGAGTGACTCCAGTTCACATCGCAGGAGCTTCTGGGTGTCAGATATCATCATGATGGACTTATCTGTTTACAGAGGTGAGGGTCAGCCAGGCTGGAAGGGGTGGGGGCAGGGGAAAGGTCAGGGCAGAGGTCAGCAGAGGCTTAGGGTAGGGATAAAGGCAGGGGGCAAGATCAGGAGTGGAGATCCACCAAGGTTAAGGTAGAGGCAGGAGAAGGGGTCAAGGACAGGGACAGGGATGGAGGGCAAGGTCAGGGGCAAGAGTCAGCTGTGGAGGCAGGGGCTGTGGGTGGAAGTAGGAACCAGCAGGTCTTTTGCACATAGTCTCGTTGGGAGGGAGGATTCTTACATTTGACTTTGGAAGAGCTGGTCTCCAACGGCTTCTAGGGAAGGGGGACATGAGGGCAGTAGAAATTCAGCCCTGGCTGCCTCCTTGCTCACCCCAAACCAGTGCAGGGGTTTTGGACATGAGTTGAGTCTGTTGAGTTCTGGGTGTACCAGACCCCAAGTGCAGGCAATTCTGCCTCCAGGCACATTTGGGCACCTCCCCTGCCCTGCATGTGCTCAGAAGTACACTTGTATGGCTTATCCCTTATGTATGCAGGCCTGTGGGCTGCCCTTGACAGCATGCACCTGCAAAGCCCTGTCTCTGGCCTGGGCTTAGGAAATGGCCCTCCTCCTTAGGGGCAAATGGCGTTGACAATGTCTGCACGCAGCGCCAACAGCACGCAATGTATAATCACACTCAGTTGTCAAAACACAATTGTAGCCACACAGACACAAGCCTTGCACTCTTAAGTTGTAAGACCCAGAGCATCCACTCGTACCCATCTCAGACCCACAACCACACAGACACATAGGCAGTCACACCCAGAGACAAGCACAGACAAGACCCCACTAGGTTAGGACACACAATCGTACATCCATTCCATTAATTCCCTCATCCATTAAGACATTTTCAACACAGGTCTACTGAGCACTGGGAGTGTTCCGGGTTCTGAAGACACCGTGGGAGCGTTCTTGAGGAAGATCTCCCTGCCCCCACAACCCCCTCCCTGAGACCCGCAGCGGTAAATTGTAGTGCAGCAGGAAGGGGTTTCCCGGGTGGGGGTGACCTTAGTGATGCTCTGATGCCTCTTCACAAGGTCCTGCTCATTACAGTGCTCCTGCGAGTCTGGGTTGGAGAAGGGGGGAGACCAATGCGACTGAGGCCCCGAGTCCCTCCCTGGCCTCCAGTTTGTACTTGTCACTGTGTTTTCTGAAGCAGCTGTTTCCAAAGTCTCTGGTTCTGGGGTCCTGGACCAGTGAATCGTATAGTCCACGGTCTTGTCTGAGGAAGCGCCTGGGGGTAAGGTGGGTGAGGGCTTCCTGAGGGCTAGCCCAGAGCACTGCAGCCCTTCCCAGCTCCCCCACCCTGGGGCAGCCCCTCAACGAACCCCAGCACTTGTCGCACTTCCTGTTAGCAACCAAACACGAGTTGGAGGGTGGGGAAGATGAGCAGTAGCAGGGCACAGAGTAGTCGGGGTCCCGGGGTAGGCCAGCCAGAAGAGGGTCGCTTCAAATAGGGAGGACAGGGGACTGCACTGAGACCAGCTCCCATATCCCACACTTTCAGACCCTCCTTGACACCCCAGAGAGTCTTCAGCCCTGAATACAGGGACTCCCAGTTTTGGTAGGAGCTGGATGAAAGATGATCCCAGCCCCAGGGCTTCGGTTGGGCAGTGAAAAGAACCCAGAAGACCCCACAGAAGAAAGTGAGAAGCCTAAAAGGGAAAAGAGATCTTAATATTGGTCCCTACAGGAAGAGTGTTCCTGGAAGGAAACATCATGTGAGAAAGCTTGGAAGTGTAGAACCATGTCCTCTATGCCGGTAAATTCAGGATGGCTGGAGGCAGGGTCCAAGAGGAAGCAACAGGATGTTAGCAGGGCAGCTCAAGCAAGGCACTGAAAACCAAGCAGGGGAGTTTGGATCTGGCTCCTCAGGTAAAAGGGAACCATAGTGTGTGAACGGGAGAGGCAGGACATATCTGTTCAATAAATAATAACTGAATTGGGGTCCAGGCCTGTGCTAGATGAGGCTAGGAACAGGAAAGATCTCAGCTCTGGGTCTCATATCCACACCTCCTACAGTCCCAGCATAATCAGGGCTGACAGATGGAGACACCTGGGGCCGTCTGAAAAAACTTCTAGGTGAAGGTCACACCCAGCCAGAAGGCCACACTATAGAACTTTCTGTTTTTCTGCCTTTGCTGGGCCCTCTGGTGTCCTTCCTCGGCCCAGTCCTCCTAGAAAGACTCCTATATACCCTTTGAAACCCTACTCAGCATCCCTTCTGTAAAATCTTCCTTAATCTTTTTTTAAACTCATATTTTCTGAGCACTTCACTGAGTATTGGGCACCATCTTTAGCACTTATTGGGTCTTCACACTTATCCTGTGATGTAGGAGTTATTCTTCTGCCTGAAATGTTCTAGGCTACTTTTCAGTGGGCACTAGAGACCCTCTAGCTGGATGGCCTGGGTTCAGATCCTCGCTCTGCCCCTTTCCAGCAGTGTGTTGTTGAATTACTGAACTTCTCCATGCCTCAGCGTCCCCAACTATAAAAATAAGATATCGTACTACCACGTTTTGGGGTTGTTGTGACTAACTTAATTCATACCAGTGCCTGAGATACAGGAGCGGAAAGCTCAGTATTCGTCCTTTAATGTCACGCTGAGAACCTGGAACCTGGGGACCATAAAAGCCCTGGGAGGCTCGGCGGGGAAAAGGGAAGACGCATTTCTGAGGGCCAACTGCAGGCAGATCCCCGGTCGAGCACCTCTCCCCTTCCCACATCAGCCGTTCCTCCCGGGAGAATTCTTGGGGGGAGGGGCGGGGTTATTAGCATGCGCCCCGCCCCTTCGGGCCGTGAATCCTGCACCTGCCAGGCTCCCGACTCCCTTCCATCCCCACCTACCACATACCACCTGCTCATGCTCTCCCATCAGGGACCGCGAAGCCAGTCCCCAGCTGTGACGCTGAAATTTGATCCCGCAGGGACACCATCGCATTAAAACGCACGGAGACCAAAGATAGAGTCACAGAGAGGGGTGTGGCTGGCATTTTAGCTCCGCCTCCTCCGATGTAGCCGAGGGCCTCATTGGCGCCTTCCCGCTCGCAGGTCTTAGGAGCCGCCGTGTAATTGGATAAAATCCCAACGAGGGGCGGAATTTCAGGCTGGTTTCTGCTAATCGATTAGTCAATATCTAAGAGGGAGGTACAGGAGGTGGCAGAGTACGATTGGATTGGCTTTGGGTTTAGCGGGAAGGCGGGACGAGTCCTTGGCCCCATGAGGGGCCGTGGCCCAGGAGGACTGCTGGAGTGAGGTACCGAGGCCAGCCCGCCTGGCCCCTAAGATCCGACCCCGGCGCCTCTAGTCTCGGATTCCTGGGTGCCTCGGGTGGGGTCGGTGTCTTTGGAATAAGATTTGGGGGGTTCTCAGGATTAGATGGGGCCTCGGGAGTGCTTTGGGGAGCTTCATAGCGATATCCGGGTTCTTGTTATGAGATCAGGGGTCTTTGTTGAGTCCCCGGGGTGATATTTGGGAGTCACTGGGATGATCTATGAAGACCTCGGGCTACGAACTTGAGCTACTGGGGCTGAAATTTGGGGGTCTCAGAGGTGACATGGGTGTTGGGGTCCAGAGAGCTTGAGGGTTGATATTTGCAAGATGCGGTTGGCGGTTGTTGCAGTACTGCTGTGGACATTCCCCACCCCCATTCCTAGGCTGCTATCCCTGGATCTTTGCTGGGTTAGCTGTTACCCTGGCCTTGAGCAGGCTCACAAGGCCTGAAGGCCGCGGGCTGAAGGTAAAGCCCTGAGCCACACTGTGCCTTCTTCCCAGGCCTGCAAGATGGAGGAAGGTGGGAACCCTGGAAGCCTGACTAAGGTGGTCCATCTACTGGTTCTGTCTGGGGCCTGGGGCATGCAAATGTGGGTGACCTTCATCTCAGGTAGGGGCTGTCTGCTTGGACGTCATGGGTACTGGGATGGGGACAGGAATGAGAAGGGACCTGGAGTAACCTAACACGTGTGTTGTCCCCTGCGCCCCACAGGCTTCCTTCTTTTCCGAGGCCTTCCCCGACATACCTTCGGCCTCGTGCAGAGCAAACTCTTCCCTTTCTACTTTCACATCTCCATGGGCTGTGCCTTCGTCAACTTCTGCATCTTAGTTCCACAGCACGCCTGGGTCCAGCTCACATTCTGGGAGGCCAGCCAGGTATTTGGGCTTGGGCTTCACTACCCTCCGGAGACTCATTCCCGGGACCCCACAGAGCACTTATTGCTATACCTTTGTGAGAATTAAACGAATGAAGAACAAACAAAAACCTGCCCCTTCTTCCCAGTGGATACAAAGCTGGGTTTTGGATACCCTTGAGCAGTGCACCGCCTGCACAACCACCCCCAACAGCCCTGTCTATCCCCCAGGGAGTCTCTGCTGGCTGCTGCTCCCTCTCCTTCCTCTGGCTGGGCCTGCGGCCAAGCCATGGTGACTCAGCTGGGCCTGGGCATTGACCCCAGCTTATTGTTTAAAAACCAGCCTGACTGGGAATTTAAAGTCTCCCACTCCCATCCACACATTTTCCCAACCACAAGGCGAGGGACCATCTCTGCATCTCATATTTCTCTATCCTGCCCTCTCTCTGCTCAGATGTGGGCAGGTGAGGTCTAACAGGGATTTCAAGAATAATCCCACAGAAACGGGAGAGAATTATGGGTAACTGGAACTTTAAAGACTTTTTATTCACTCCCTGTGGGCCCAGTGTCAGCTTCTAGGGTCTGGGCCGGGGCCACAGAGAAGACTGCCCGGTCTTAGGTTCTCTGTTTGGGGGAAATGAGAAGACAATTATGGTACTCTGTCCTAATTTGGGGAAGAGAGGTACTGTCCTGAGAAACTCTCAGTTTGGGGGAACAGAGGCGAGGAGACAAGGCCGTGTTCTGGAAACTTCCAGTCTGAGTATCAGAAGAGAGGAGGCTCAGAAAGTTTTGGGGAGGGTAGAGGAGATGGCGATGGAGGCTTTCCTGTAGGGTTTAGGGTGTGAGCACTGAAACTCTGGTTGAGGCCCCTAGTCTTGGTTTGGAAAAGGTAGGGGAGGCCTGGCTTTGACCCAATGCTGTCCCCCATCCCTCTGGGCTTTAAGGATGCAGAAAGATCTCTGGAGGGCTCCTCCTGCCTCCCAGGCACGGCTCACCTTGTCCTCCTCCCACCACCCCCACCAGCTCTGCCTGCTTCTCCTGAGCCTCACGCTGGCCACCATCAACGCCCGCTGGTTGGAGCCCCGCACCACAGCTGCCATGTGGGCCTTGCAGACTGTGGAGAAGAATCGGGGCCTGGGTGGAGAGGTGCCAGGCCACCACCAGGGCCTTGACCCCTACTGCCAGCTGCGGGCTCAGGACCCCAAGTACAATGCCCTCCGCCAGATCTTCTTCCGCTACCATGGCCTGTCCTCCATTTGCAATCTGGGCTGCGTCCTGAGCAATGGGTTCTGTCTTGCTGGCCTCGCCCTGGGCCTCAGGAGCCTCTAGCACCCACTACCTCTCTGTCCCTGCTGGGGCCCCAAATGTCAATAAACTCTTCTTTGGAAATGGCTGCTGTCATTTTTCTCCAATTGAGAAGCAGGAGGAAGGGCTGGTAAAGGTGGAACTGAGGGACTCCATTTCCCCATTCACGAGGCATAACGATTTGGAGCGTTAGCTGTTGCAGCCCCTAAGCCCTTTCTATGACGGTGCCCACTTGTTGAGCACCCACTATGTGCCAGGCATGAAGCTAACTATTGCAAATACTATGTATTGTGCATATAGCTGGTTCTGATCCCTAGAGGACAAGCATATTTCCCAGCCCATTGACATTAGGGGTGGCCATGTGACTTGCTTTGGCCAATGAAATGTGAGCAGAAACAGCACCAGTCATTTCCAAAGAGAAGTGTACAGTGGTCCTTCCATTATCCACAGGGATACATTCCAAGACCCCCAGTAGATTCCTGAAACCACAGACAGTACTGAAGCCTACATATGCTATGTTTCTTCCTTTACATTCATACCTTTCACTTAAGGGAAGCACTTCATAATTTCTTTTTGGCATGTCTGAATTGTCAGCAACACTACTCTTGTGCTTTGGGGCTATTATAACATAAAATAAGTTACTTGAACACAAGCACTGTGATATCACGATAGTCGATCTGATAGCTGAGATGGCTATCAAGTGACAAATGGGTGGGGAGCATCCACAGTGTGGATGTGCTGGACATAGGGGATTGATGTCCATGTGGGATGGAGCAAGATTGTCCAAGATTCCATCATGCTATTCAGAATGAGGCACAATTTTAAACATGAATTGTTTATTTTTGGAATTTTCCATTTAATATTTTCAGACCATGGTTGATTGCAGGTAACTGTAACCATAGAAAGGAAACTGCAGGTAAGGGAGGACTACTGTACAAGCCAGTGCATGATTTGCCACATTTTCCCTTCACCACAATGAACAATGTGAGTGAGAAGCAAACCTTGAGTATTGGCTACCATGGAAGTTTGGGGGCTGCTTGTTACTGAACATATGCCAGCCCTTCCTGACTGATGCATGTCATCTCCAATTGTTCTCATGGAAGTCCTTAGAGGCACTTGCTGATTCCTTGAAGCAATGAGGCTCAGAGAATCTCAGCAAGTGGCTTCAGGTGGAGTTGTTGGAATCTGAACACCAGCAAAGCCTGAGCTGTTATAACTGCAGATGCTCTCCTGCTGGCCTGAAGAAAACTCTAGGCCCTCAGCTGGGACCGGATGTGCCAAATTTCCTTACTGTGTGACCTCAGACGAAGGGCTGTCCCTCTCTGAGCCTCTGTAAAAGCGGGATTAATTCCAAGGGCCCTTAAGAGTATTTGACAAAGGAACCTAGCCCACTTTAGGGTCAGGCGCTGCAATTTTCAGATCGGAACCCACATTTAACTCTATGAGGTGGAGACTCTTGTCATCAACCACTTGACGGTAGGGGAAGCTGAAGCCCAGAGAAGTTAAGTAACATATCTAAAGTCACAGGGCTGGAAAGCGGTGGATCTGGGATTCAAACCCAGCTCCAGAATCCTCTCTCAACCGCTCTGCTCGTAGTAGGAGCTCCATAGTTAATTAAGGAAAATGTAAAGTTTACTGTTGGGATCGGGTTCTAGACCGCTGCACTCCGCCGCCACCTCCGGCGGACCCGCACGCACCCCATCCCAACTTTCTACAAGCCCCGCCCCGGACTCTGCCCCGCCCCCTCCCCTGGGAGCTGCCCCTCCTCCCCTGCCTGGGCGGAGCCGGCGCGGGATCCGGGTGGCTGCGGACAGACGGCTGCGGGGTGGGGGTCGCGGCCCACGGCTGGCCGCGAAGAGTTCGGAGGCGGAATCCCCACTGGCAGTGACCCCCCGCGAACGGACCCTCTCGGAGGGAGCGCACGCCACCCTGCACCTCCGCATCCCAGCAGGTCTGGAGGGACAGGGGGATCGGGGGAGGACCCGGGGAACAAAGCCGGGCGGCGGGGGCCGCCTCTTGCCTCGCCCTCACCCAGCTGGACTCATCCGGGAACGTTAATGGGGCGCGGGCGGGGCCGAGAGCCCAGCTGGGAACACGAGATGGGACCATATGGTGATGGGAGGAAGCTCCTGAGCGCCCCTGCACTAGCTGGGGCGCCCCAAGTCCAGCGAAGGAGAACAGGGCCGAATCCCTGGACCCTAACCTAGTGACAGGCGTGAGTGGCGGTCGGCAGATGGTCAGAAGTAGGTGGGGCCGGCTGACAGGTGGGCTGGGGGTGGGACGGGGGCCCCAGCCTCGCAGCCCTGCCCAGCTTGAGGAAAGGCTTCCTGTCTCTTGTCTTCCCCTCCTCAAACTCGTTCTCCCGGAACACGGGGTGGGGCTGAGGGCAGGGCAGGAAAAGGAGGCCGGTTGTGCTCTCCTTTAAGATGGAAAAAAGCCCCACAGGCAGTTGAGAAAGCTTTGCCAGGGTTTCCTCTGCGATTGTGCCCTCCATTCATCCAGGCCTTCTGGAACCTCCCCGTACAGCTCAGGAAGCAGCCATAGACAGCTGGGGAAACTGAGGCTCAGGAAGGCCATGCTGTCTGAGGTGTCCTGGACCCAGATGAAGAAGCCCAGCTGTAGGGACAGGGCCAGGAAAAACAGGACGAAGGGTGGAAGGGTGTGGTGGTCCCGGCGGTGGGGTTCTTGATTATTAGGTGTCCCGGCTGGTTTCCTTTGATCCGAGGACGGTCACCCAGCCTCTGTGGGCTAGGTGAGTCAGCTCTACCTAGAGCAGTATGGGCCTGTCCCCTTTGACAAACAGAATGTAGAAGTATACATTTGGAGGCAGAGCTAGGCGTAAACCTGGGCTGGATCCACTGAAAACCCCCTCCCCATGGAGGTCAGGGAGGGGGTTAAACTAGGATTAGGTGGGGGCAGGGCAGGCACCCTGGTGGTGGCTGACATCTGCCAAAGTCAACAAGCCTGGAGTAGGGGGGGGGCTCTATCCAGCTGGTGGCAGGGGTGGGGGGGCAGCTCATACCTGGGCCACACCAGCTGCTCACCAGGGGGCAAAGTCCACACCAGAACCTCTGCTCGGTCTGGTTCCTCAATAGCCAGAAGAGGCACCCCGTGCACCCTGAACCTGGGCCCTTGCATTTGACAAACATCCTCATTTTCCAGAGGAGGACAGAGCATCCAGCGTAACTTGGCCTTCAGGTGGCAGAGCCAGAGTTTGAACTCAGGTCTGATACATACACTGGAGCTGCGACTGATATTTTATTTCCCTGCAGGGCTCCAGGCCTCCCCCCAGGAGGCTCCCCGTCAGGATGGCGTCAGCTGGAGACCCCCTGCCGGGCCCACGGGATGCAGCGGACCAGAACTTCGACTACATGTTCAAGCTTCTGCTTATTGGCAACAGCAGTGTGGGCAAGACATCCTTCCTGTTCCGCTACGCGGATGACTCTTTCACACCTGCCTTCGTCAGCACTGTGGGCATCGACTTCAAGGTCAAGACTGTCTACCGCCATGACAAGAGGATCAAGCTGCAGATCTGGGTGGGCCGGGTGGCTATCCGTGGGTCTACAGCTGGGGAGGGCCTAGGGTTCCTCCAGGAAAGTCCGTGCAGAGGTGTATGGCTGCGGGAGAGGGGCCCAGAGTCGGGGAGGGGGCGTGGGGTAGGCATGAAGAGCAGGGTGTATTATCTATGAGGCGAATTCATCAGGGTGAGGGGATATGCCCTGCCCCGTGAGATCCGAGGGGGAGGCAGTACTGACCCAAGGCAGTTAGAAATCCTGGTGACTAGTGGGGAAGAGGTTTGGGTACCATCTCAGGTGCGAGTCCAGAGGCCCCCACTCAGCCTGCCTGGTGTCAGAGCCACTGCCCTCCTCCCAACACAGCTTCTGGTAACGATTGTCATGGAAACAAGCACCAGGGTATCTGCATCAAGATGATACCCTCTGACCTAGCTGGCTGTTTGTGGTCATTAAGTTGATTCTTGGAGATGAGGTCAAAGAGGCTCTTAAGTCTGTGAGAGGCCACTGACCCCTCATACTGGGAGCTCCTCAAGGGCAGGGCCATGTCTCTCCCATCAGACTGGAGATCGTGCAGCCAGGCCCGTATTTCTCCGTTCAGGCTAGAGATTGCTGGCAGGTCCATGTTTCTCCCATCAGGCCAGAGCATGTACAGGCAGGTCCATGTCTCGCCTATTGGGCCAGGACTGTGAGCACAAGGCAGTACCTTCCTCAGACAGGGCTCTGCAGGGGTGGGGTGGGGGACAGGGTGGCTTCTAGCCGGCTGACCCTGCCGTTTCCCCAGGACACAGCGGGCCAGGAGCGCTACCGTACGATCACCACAGCCTACTACCGAGGAGCCATGGGCTTCCTGCTCATGTATGACGTTGCCAACCAGGAGTCCTTCACCGCCGTGCAGGACTGGTGAGTACTGGCTCACCGCTGACCCACTGACCTTTGCCTTCTCCCCTGACCCCCAAATCTCTGGCCTAACAGCCCTCAAACTCCACAGGGCCACACAGATCAAGACCTATTCCTGGGACAATGCTCAGGTCATTCTCGTGGGGAACAAGTGTGATCTGGAGGATGAGCGTGTCGTACCTGCTGAGGATGGCCGGAGGCTCGCCGATGACCTTGGTTAGTGCCCAGCCTGGGCCACAGGCCCTGGATCTCTCAGAATCAAACCTCCATCCTCACGCTCAGGTCCCAGGTCCAACCACAGTCACCAACTCTTTGCTCTCTCAGACTGCCCGCATGTGTGCCACCTTATCCATTTAATTCCAGGGGATTCACCCACAGATCCCTCCTCCCTGACCACTGCTCTGGGAATCCAGACTCAGCCAAACCATATCTGGTAACATCCTTACCCATGTAGGAAAGTAGTGAGTATATCAAATCGTAGTACTGTTAGTAGCAGAGAAACTTTGACAACCTCCCAGATGGCTCACAGTGAGTGGAGGAAGCTGCAAAACATAAAGTGTATTCACGTGGTAGAATACTAAGCAACCATGAAAAAGGAGAAGGGCATTCTTTATGTTTCGTTATGGCAAGATTTCTGGGATAGATGGTTAAGTGGGAAAAGTAAACCACAGAATAGTAGGTATGGCTGCCTCCTTTAGGCCAGGAGTCAGCAAACATTTGCTTAAAGAGCCAGATAGGAAATATTTTTGGTCATAGAGCCTCTGTCGCAACCCTACAGCTCTGCCTGAAACCAGCTGTAGACAATACATCAATGAATGAGCGTGACTGTCTGCCAGGAAAACTTGATTTACGGAAATAGGCGATTGGCCAGATTTGGCCTGTACCTCGAAGTTTGCCAACACCTGCATTAGTGTATGAAAAGGATGAGAATAAGAATATAGCCTAAATGAACTCTGGAAGGGTACAGAAGAACCTAGTAACAGCAACGACCTGTGTGTTTCAGAACTGGGAGGCCAGGCACTAGAGGGGAACTTTTCAGTCTTATCTTTTTGAATCAGGCGAATGAATTACCTATTGAAAATTTGAGGTCAACAAAAATCTCGTCCTGAGTATTCCAGTATTCTAGGCTCTCCCGGGACTTTCCTTCTGGGTGGTGGTATAGCTACCGTAGGGAGTGCGTGTTAAGGACCCAGACTCTGGAACTAGGATGCCAGTCTGCAACCCATTGCTGTGTTACTTAGGGCACATTGCCTCCCTTCTCTGTGCTTCTATTGCTCTACCTAGGGAACAGGTGAAGCAGTATTTACTTCGTAGGGCTGTTAGATTAAATAAGCAAATGCTGGTATCGATTGAACATTAACTCATATTATTTCTCGATCGCTTTGTGATCTTGTCCTGGAGACTCCAGCTCTCTAGGCCTGCACTTCCTCATGGATCGAATGGGAATGATAGCAGCCCCACCTCATCCAGCTGTCATGAAGGTTAAGTGAGTTGCGACACGTGAAGCAGATATAACAGAGAGGCACCTGTGTAGGTTTCATCTCAGTGTTAGCTGGCATGATTGTGAACTGTCGTTGATGCTTGCATTTAAAACTCTAAGAGCCACATAGCCCACAAAGCCTCAAATATTTACAGTCTGGCCCTTAACAGAGAAAGCTCATGGACCCCTGGACTACAACGGTCCCCTTTCTCCTTCCTCTTGCCGCCAATTTGTTGGAGAAACCTGGTCTATGTTCTATAGAATGTCTCGCATTTGAGATTTGGCTCTGCTCCCTCGTGGTGTCATTTAACTTGCTCCTCTGTCCCCTGCATTTTCTGGGAATTCCAGCCTGGGTCCCATTTCCAGGTGTGCTGGGGAGCCCAAATCCCCAATTTGCCTGGAAATGGTAAAATCAGCTACAACCCAGTTATGTGCTGGAATATTTGCCCACACCTCCTGGCAGAGAATCCCTGGTGACTGGAGGAGGAGGGGATTCCTGCTCTGCCTTTAAGTTTAAGATACTAGAGTACAAAGCAGGAGATAGAATTTGATCCCAATTTTGTAAGAAAACCACATATACATGCACACGTGTGCGTACACACCCGCGCGCGCACACCCCTATAAACCCAACTCCAACAATCGTATATTTGTATTAAAGTAGAAAGCTAAATACCAGAACGTCAATAGTAATCACTTCTGAGTGATGAGATGATAGTTTATACATGTCTTGATATTTTTCAGCAGTTTCCAGCTTCTCCAGGAGATATTTATAATCAGAAAAAAAGTATTAAAACAAAAAGAACTCAGATTATATGAGTCAGAGCCACACACAGATAAGAAAATGCCAGATTTGCCCAAGAAGACAGTGGGATGACACTGATATCTCTAGGCTCAGAGTAGAAGATCTGAGTTCGTGCCCTGCCTCTGTCATTAATTCATTCATCTGTCCGTCCATCCGTCTAGTCATTCAGCAAGTAGTTCTGAGCGCCTGCTCTGTACCTGGCAGTGGCTGCACAGTGATCAAGGCAGACGGGAATCCTGCCCTCTTGGAGCTGGCGTTCTAGTAGCAGAGACGGATAGGAAACGGATCATTACAGTCTTAACTATTTAATTACAATTACATTTTTATAGTGCAGCATGACAAGTGCCAGGGTAGAGGCCCATTTACCCTGCTGTGTGTATAATACGGTGGGTGGGTGTTTGAATTTCTGGCCCACCTTGGCATGGGTGGCAGGTAGGGACACATTAGAGACCTCTCAGAGGTAGCTCCCTGTAGGCAGATCCTGAATCAACCTTTTAGGGGGTGCAAGAAGGATCATCGTATACACCCTTACATTCAGGTTGATGGGACATTTTTTGTAACGAGGGACCTTGGGCAAGTTCCCAAAGCGTTTGTACCACCTTCCACCTTTGGGAGGACAAACAAGTTATGATGGTCGCTATGATTCTAAGAAAATACTCAAAGCTGCCTCTCATCCTCTCTCCCCAGAAAGAGTCAGCCAGCCTGCCCTCCACACCCAGGCCCAAGACGGTACAATAGGAATATTTATTACTATTTATTTATTTACATTTAAAATATTTACTTAATATTTATTGTTGTTTGAGCCAGGCCGCCCGGGTGTGAATCCCGGCTCTGCCATGCGTTACCTGTGTATATTCAGATCAATGACTTTTCCTCTTTGTGTTTTGGTTTCCTCATCTATAAAATGGGTTATAATAGGATGAACCTCAGAACACCATTAAATGTATTCATTTATATAAAGCACTTAGAAAAGTACCTGCCACGTAGTAAGATGTAAGCACTTACTATAATTAATTATATTATTATTAGCACCATTTTTAGTGCATTCTGTAGGTCAGGAACCCTGCACATCACATGCTCTCCACGAACACCAGGAAACCCACCGTTATCCGCCTGACCAATTGCAAACTGGTGGTCCCCCAGACTGAAGCCAGTCTTCAGCTGTGTTTTCTTTGGTCTGTAGCGCATTTTCCAGAACATATGAAGTACTTGGCTCCATTTCAAAAGTCCACGTCAACAACTAGCTTTGTGGACACCTTTGCTGTATAAGTCAGGTAAAGCTCAGCTGCAGCCACCTATGGGTGCCCCGTGCCCTCTAGGCACTGGAATGATACTGCCTGGACTGTTGCGGACCTGCCTTGGGACAAAGAGATTCTTAGGATAGTTCCGAGCAGGGCTGCTGCCACAGGTTTTTATCATCATGATTCCCATTTTATAGATGAGCAGACTGAGGCTTTGAGACTAAGGCATTCAGCCAAAATCCCACAGCTGCATAACAGGCTTTAGAACCCAGACTTGGATGATACCACAGCCCAGGCTTTGCCCTTCAGGGTCTCATGGGTGTCCCCACCTATATCTGTCCAGGTTTCGAGTTCTTCGAGGCCAGTGCCAAGGAGAACATCAACGTGAAGCAGGTCTTTGAGCGCCTGGTGGATGTCATCTGTGAGAAGATGAACGAGTCCCTGGAACCCAGCTCGAGCCCTGGAAGCAATGGGAAAGGCCCAACCTTGGGAGATGCCCCACCCTCCCAGTCCACTGGCTGCAGCTGCTAGACATGGTCCCCCACCCCTGCCCACCCCCTCCTGCCTCGGCTTGGACTGTGACTGAGGCATGAGCCATAAGGGCTGTTTCCAAGCTCAGGGCGCCCCCTTCTCCCTTGCCAGGTATCAGCTGCCCCCCCTACTTCTGCATGGCTCATTCTCTTGCCATGGCCACCAGCCTGCCCAAGCAGCCCCTGTCACAGGATGCAAACACTGGCGACTCTGCATCAGAGGCAGGGTCTAGGGATGTTGACGTGCATGAGCTTGCTGCTTTTCAAGCGTTTGAATGGGGGTTGCTTAGTAGAGGGGCTTCCACAGTGCCTTCTGGGTTAGATCCGTTGTCCACGTCCATTCTGTTCTGGGCATTGTCTGAGGTTCGCGAGCTGGCTGAAGATGGTTTGTCTTTCTCATGCCATGTGGGTTCTCAGAGTTCATCTTTAGAGATTTGGAAGGTGGCTCTTTGCTCAGGGTCCCCTGCTGTGGTCCTGAGCCTGCCCACGAACCTCCTCCGACCTCGAGGCTCCAAGGGGAGGAGGTGACTGACCTGGGCAGACCCTCCCTTCTGGCCTGCGGATCCTCTGTCTGTGAAAGCAGTATTAAAGCAGCTTTTCCCATTGTCAAGGGATAGGGATTCAGAAGCCCCCTGGCTTCAGGGACCCTGGAAGTGCCTTTTAAGTTTCCCTAGAACTCCACATCACCCATGACCCTGTTTTGACTTATCTGTGGTGTCGTTGATTCGGGACTGAATTCTGGAACTACGTACCGTGTCTAGCCAGGCAGAGAATCAGCCAGCCCTGGCCTTCATGCTCAGGGCATTGTGCAGAAGTTAATCTCAGAGCCAAGAGCCTGGTCCCTCCCGCCCAGACCTGCCTCCTTGGAGCCCATTTGGCTGGTGATGTTTTAAGCAAGATCTTGCCACATCTTACATCCTGCTAGAAAAGGAAATTAAGCAATGTTTCTATAACCTGTGCCTGCTGTCGACTTTCTGATGTAAGGACTTGGGCTCCTCCCACTTGAGGGCCAGTGAAGACCCAGTACCCAGTGTCCATTTCATGAGCCATGTCATCGGTGGGGCCCGGTGATGAGACATTTTCTGCTAATGGAGGAGTCATTCTAAGGAATGTTTTGGGTTTGAGCTGGACGGGCAAGAAGGTAGAGTTGTATAACTGCTATTGCCACATGCATTTCCTGATACAGCTTGGGAGTGGCAGACAGATGGGGGATGGCCTGGGATCAGCCCCTGGCTGAGGCTGAGGGCTTCTTTTGGGAGATTATTTGCAGTTTAGGGATCTACATCGTCACATCCCCTGACCCTCCCAGCTCAGCAGCCCATCCTGCCCACCTTGTGCAATCTAAACTTCAGTGGCATGGCACCTCTTTCTGTTCTTGAACTCTAACTGACACCCCATAACTTGATAGACACTGTGAGGACAGCCTAAGCAGATGGTTTGTGTTCCCAATTCCACTCTCATAGCCCCTGCTGGCAAGATGACCTGTAGCCTTAAAGATCTCAGCCTCCTTTGGGGCACGGGGAAGGCTTGGTTCGAGTTTAACATGGCTCTTACCTTTATAGAAGCTCTAGATTGAATTTATTTCTAGAGGGCCCTATTTACCCCTTACCAGGGTCTGCCCTTAGGGCTTCAAAGTGAGGATATATTTGTATGCCAACAAATCAGATGACTGAAGTGAAACGGACACGCTCCTGGAAACAAAGTGAGAGCATCTGAATGTTTGGGGTGGGAGTCAAAAATGTTAGTTGCTTTAACATAAAAAAATGAAATGAAATTAGCTAAGAAAAAGGCTTCTTAGAATGCACACGGCCTGTCAAGACACACTTGGCCAGTCCATTTTCCCTAAACTGCTGCTATAGAAAATGGTGGGTGAGAGAGCTGTTACCTGAGGGACGAGCCAACCGTCACTGCATATGCGATAAAACCAGCATTGGCTGTAACTTGGACCTAACCTGGCCTAAGCTTTCTGTTTACACAAAATTTTTCAACAGTCCAGCTTCACATAGCAACTGAGACAACTGCTTCGGGTTCTCTCAAGACTGGGATAATGTAGATTTTTTTTCTAAATATAATGGAAGTTTTTATTTTATGATGTTTGGGAGGAGGTTTAATTCAAAATGGTCTCTAGGGAACAGATACTGATGTCCTCACAGATCACTGTGGGGAATTGAGGTTTGTTTAGTTTACAAATAAAAATTAAACCAAAGGCTATGGGAAAACCACCTCCCAACTCCAGGGATATTGGGATCTCGAGCAGTCGCCCGAGGCTGGGTCCTGCTGTCCCTTCTTACCATTTGCTTTTAGCAACTCGTCTTTCCACAGGGATTTCGGTGGGAAATTGTCGTGGCCACCGTGGTTTGGGGTTCTGCTTTTTTCTTTTCTTTTTCTTTTGTCGTCTCTGGGAATCATATTCCAGTGTCTTTCTCTCCTACTTAGAAAAACAAGTAAGGGGTGAAATTTGGTCTCAGTGTTGAAGTGCAAGCTCTGCTAACTGGCTTCTGCACGATCCCAAACGTACTACGGAGTGAGCTCTGGACCTGCTCATTTCTATCCTGGATGTGGTTCCCCTGATCTCCACTTGGAAAGACATGCACTTTTCTCCACAAGAAAAAAAAAAATTAAAGCCGTTATGCCCAGATACAGTTGTTCTTTTATTTCCATTAGTGAAATGCGATTTCTAGGAAGAGGGCGATTGGATGACAGCCAAGCAGATGGTTGAGGGCCATGTGTGATGCAGCAGATCTCGGATTAGGCCAGGGAGGCTCACAGGCCTGGGGCTGTGTCTAGCTGGGACTCGTGGCCACCACATTGGCCCTAGAAAGTTCCTCTGTGCAATGGGCAGGGAGAATGATGCTGCCCCAACTAATCTTGCTGGGAATATCTGTTCTCCCCACAGCAGCCAGGGGGCGCCTGTGAGCACCCAAGTCTGGCCAAGCCTACTCAGAACCCTCCATGGCTCCCACCTGACTGGGAGTAAAGCCAAAGTAACCTGCAAGGTTCTGCATGATCTGACTTGGCACCTCCCTTTCCTCTGGGCCCCTACGTTTGATTTGCTCCAGTCACATTGGCCTTGTTGCTGTGTGAACGCGCCAGGCCCCTGTCTTATGGCCTTCGCATTGACTGGTTCCTCTGCCTGGAACCCTCTTTCCCCAGGTAGTCACACGGCTTCCCTCGCTTCCCCTTTCAGGTCTTTCCACAGATTTCATCTGTGCCCCCCACTCCTCCATTTAGTTACTCAGCCCTTCTCCCAGCACTTCTGATGTCTCTCTGTGTCCCCCTCCCCATAGCCCCTAGAATCTAAAATACCGTACAGTTTATTCATTTGAATTGTCTTCACTGTAATGTTAGCTTCTCAAATGCAGGGCTTTTTTTTTTTCACCACCACACCCAGCTCTTCATGTTTGATACAATAAAAAAGAAATGCGTGGTCCTCTTCCTGGTTCCTGGCACACATCTAAAACCCAGGGAATCTCCAGAATGCTAAGAGGGTCTTTTGTATGCTAATAAGAGTACTGGACGGTGGCTAAGTAGTTTCAGGATGGAAGCTGGTCTCCAGGAATACCGAGCCATGTTCAGAAGGTCGGCACTTTCAGCCCATCCTCCTGACGTCCGAGGAGGGGAGAGGGGCTGGAGATTGAGTCAGTCACCAAAGGCCAGTGATTTGATCAGTCGTGCCTATGTAATGAAACCTCCATGAAAACCCTAAACAATGGGTTTCAAGAGCTCGGTGAACACATTGAGGTGCTGGGAGGGTGGCACACCCAGAGAGGTGCCCTGGTGTATCCTTTATAATACACGAAGTAGCAAGTGAAGCACTTTCCTGAGTTCTGTCAGTTATTCCAGTTATCAAACCTGAAAGGGAGGGAGGATGGCAGGAACCTCCTCACTTTGTAGCCAAGTCAGAAGTGTGGCTCATCTGGGGACCCGATACTTGCGACTGGCATTTGAAATGGGGACAGTCCTATGGGACTGAGCCTTTAAACCTGTGGCTTCTGATGTGAACTCCCAAAACCAGGTCTCTTGGCCAGCTTGGGTCCCAACCAATAATTGCCATCAGAGAGTTGGAATGTGTTGATTGGCTGGCTGGGATCATGTGCCCACGCCTGAACCAGTGACCGAGGTCAGACAGATGGAATGTGCTGATTGGCTAGCTGGGATTACATGCCCACCCCTCTTGGCTTAGTGACAGAAATCTGAGAGGTAGGCTAGTTCCAAATAAAACTAGGTGTGTTTTCCAGCAGTGGGAGATGATCGCAGCGACAGCAATTATGGCATGTGCCCATTTTATTCTCCTCAAAATCTCCCCGAAAGAAAGGTGAAAAAATTAGATAAACTATCATTTGCAATCCTCAATGAAAGAATTGATTCCAGCTGCTATGGTCACTTAGATCAATAAGCCCTTGGATTAGTGATTCTCAGCAGTGACCATGGTCACCCTTAGAATCATCCAGATGAATGTTATAAGTCCCCATGCCCAGGCCACAGCCCAGTTCAATTAAATCATAAAATAGGGAAATGGTGTAACAGCAGAACCAGCTCAAACTGGTCATATCTTGTTTCTAACGAGACCCAGAACCGAAGTTTAAACCTTGGATTCACCACTTAAGAGTAACATCTCTGAACCCTTAACTGTTCCCCTCAAACAAAGGACTGGGGCATGACCGGAACCTGAACACTGAAACCTTTTCAGAAGTGAAAGGTCTGTTGTCCAGGAAGATCTAGTGCTAAAATCCCTTAAAAATTGCCCCGAACCCTGGATTGGGGAGTTAGATTTGAGCCTTGCCTCCTGTCTCCATGCCGGTTGACCTTACAAAAAATAAGAGCTTTCTTCTTTTCTCAAAAGCTAGTGCCATAGCATTGGCTTCTATGCACATCGGGTGGTGAGCCCTTGCTTGGTAACAATGGGGTCCAGACTTGAGTATTTTGCTAAAGCTCCAAGGGGGTTCTAATGTACAGCAAGGGCTGAGAACAAGTGAGAACAAGGAAATATGGGAGAGAGAGGAACAGGTAAAGGCACCATAGAGCAGCAGCAAATCCAGAAGGTGTGGAATTCCCAGTGTTCCACACTCTTCCTGCAACAGATCAAAGGTGGACGGGGTTGGGGAAGAGGAGGAAGAATCTGGAGCAGCAGTTCTCAAAGTACATTTGCTGTGCCAGCAGCATTGCCTGGGAACTTGTCAAGAATGAGGATTCCTGGGGACCCCCCTCTCCAGATCTCCTGAGTCAGAAGCTGGGGTGGGAGGAGAGGCACTTGTCCTTTAATAGAACTTCCAGAGGATTCTAAAGCATGCTCTAATTTTATAATTACTGGATTTGCATAAAAGGGACACAGGAGACATGACAATCAGACCTGATGTGCGGACCTTGTTTAGATCCCAATTCAACGAAACTAAAAGTAAAGACATTTTTGAGCCAATTAGGAAAATTTGGTGATGGCCTGGGTGTCGGGTGATGAAAAGGAATGGCTGCTAATTGTCTTAGCTGTTGCCTTAGTTCATTTGGGCTGCGATAACAGAATATCATAGACCAGATATTTTATAAACAACAGAGATTTATTCCTCACAGCTCTAGAGGCTAGGAAGTTCAAGATCAAGGGCTAGCAGATTCAGTGATGAGGACCAGTTTCTTGGTTCACGGATGGCTATTTTTTCACTGTGTCCTAACAGGGCAAAAGGAGGGAGGGAGCTCTCTGGAGAATCTTTTATAAGGGCACTAATCCCATTCATGAGGGCCCCATCCTCATGACCTAATTACCCCGCAAAGGCTGCACCTTGTAATACCATCACCTCGGGGGCTAGGTTTCAGCATATGAATTTAGGGGAGACACACACATTCAGTCATGTGTAATAATGCCATTAGGGTTGTCAACACAAATTTATACATTTTGAAGATGTGTACTGAAGAGTAAAGGAGGAAAATGACATTAGGATTTGTTTTAAATTCAAGGAGGAGGAAAGGATAATGAAACAATGTGAAAATTTTGGTGATTGCTGTATCTGGGTGATGGGTATATGGAGGTTTCTTTGCACGAGTTATCTTTTTTGAACATTTTAGGTTTTTTTTTCACAAAATAATTTACAAAACAAGACAGTTGCATGAAAAGGCAGGTCATGTCATCTCATTCGGGTACTTAGAATTAAAATCATTGACAGCTAGCGTGAAAAATAAAATGAAGGAGACAGGAATCAACATGACGGGGGTTTCCCAAATCTTTTATTATCAATCTCCCTTCAGAAAGCAGTGAGTGACACAGATAAATAAAAATGAGACCACTACTGCATATTAAAAATCAGTGTGGGGGGAGCACAGGAGAAAAACTTGAGGGCGCAAAAGGATGGAGAATTTTTTTAAGTTACAGATTTCTTGAGACGTAATTCATATACCATGCAATTCACCTTTCTAAAGTGTATAGTTAAGTGGTTTAATCCCTTTACATTTAAGGTAATTGCTGAGACAGTAGGATTTATTTCTGCCATTTTGCTATTTATTGTCTATTTGCCTTTCTTGTTGTTCTCGTTCCCCTGTTCATCCATCGTGGCCTTCTTCTGTGTCAGATATTTTCTAGTGCACCGTTTTAATTCCCTTGTTTTTTCTTTCATTATATTTTAAAGTTATTTTCTTAGTAGTTTCCCTGGGATCACAATGAACATCTTTCCTTTTTATAATCTAGTTTGGATTCATACTAAATTAATTTCAGTATCCTACAAAAACTTCGCTCCTATGTAGCCCTGTTTTCTCCATCCTTCTTTGTGCTATTATCGTCATGTGAATTACATCTTAATATAAGTCTGTTAACACCGTTTTACTGTTATTGCCTTATGTAAATGTGGTAGGAGAAGAAAAGTTTTCACAAAAAAATGTATTTTTCTCCCTGGGGCTTACCAGGACTTGGCTCTGAGCAAGGATTCGCTCCTTGACAGGCTCAGGGATAAGAATGGCTCCCACGCATAGTGTGTCCATAGCGAACGGTCTTGGTGCACGGAGAGCTCATCGCCTTTTGGCCACTGCCTCCCTGAGATCCCTGCCTTGGGTAAGACCTCCTTTGAGTTTGTGACAGTAACTTTCCAGGATCATAGGACATCGTGCACAGCCTCAGATGCATTCTGCCTCATCGATGCCTAACAACAAACAACGGGGCAGCCCAGTTTACAAGTGAGGGAGGCTGTGGTCCTGCCTCTCAGACAGCAGTGAGTGACATGACCCAGCTCTTGCCCACTCAGGGCTCCCACCTGGGCCGTGTAGGCCGGACTCACCAGCATGAAGAGGGCTCATCCCCAGAGTGAGCTATTCCTCGCCTGAACCTGGTCTGAGGGCTCCAGCGCCCTCACGCTTTCCCCCTTCTTTGTAGGCGAACCATTAATGAGATCACCCTGCTTAAAATGACTTCCTCTCTCACCGTCCCCATTTTATATCTCTCCTGAACATTTATCACTATCATACAATACATTTTTGAATTTAAAAAATCATATTTCTTGTCTTTCTCTGATGATATGAAGGTCACTTCCATGAGGGCAGGGATTTTTGTCTGTTTGGTTCAATGTTGTACCCCTAGTATCTAAGACAGTGCGTGGACGGAGCAGATGCTCAATAAAGTTTACAGAGTGAAAAACTGAATGTTAAAAGCTTTCTACTGGCTTTCTGTCATACTCAGAACAAAGCCAAACGCCTCTCTGCAGCTCACAAGGCCTTGTAGGATCTTGCCTCCTCAATTCCCTGTCCTCATCTCCCCATACCAACCTTCTCGTTCGTCCTACTCCAGATGCAGGGGCCTCTGGTCCTTGAATAAGCCAAGCTTATCTCTGCCTCAGGGCCTTTGCACTAGCTGTTCCTTCCGCCTTTCGCCTGCCAACACGCACATGGCTTTCCCTCAGGTCACCTCCTCAGAGAGCCCTCCCTAAACTTCTCCATTCTATCACCGTATTTTACTCTCTCCCCCACTTGAATGTCAGTGCCACCTTCGCAGAGATGTTTTTTCTTTTGTCACTGCTGTGTCCTTGGTGCTCAGAACAGTGCCTGGAACACGATCAGTGCTCAGTAAAAGAGTTCAGTGTGTCCCAAAGGGACTGGGCCTCACCTGTATCACTGCTGCCCCCAGTGAGCCCCCACTCAGGTTGGAGCTCCGAGTCTTGATTATTTTCTGGAGCTTAGGAAAATAGCCCTAAAGATACAAATATCAAAGCAGGCAGGATCCAGTTAGGGGCTCATAGGCTCCAAGGCCTCATCACTAACCGTGCCTTTCGGGTCACCCAAACTGCTTTCAGATTCAGGATGAAGGAACAGAACATTGTCTCCTTCTCATTTGATGGCCCCCAAATGCTCCAGCATCTTCCTGGCCTCCTCATTCTCCCCACACACACAGGCCCCAGCACAGCCTGTATCCGTCTGTGCTGACGTCCGGCTGTGGCGATTAAGAGTACAGCCTGACGTCCCGAGGTATTACTAGCTGCATGACCCTGGAGAAGTCACTACTCGTTTCTTTGCCTTAGTTTTTCCAACCGTAAATGTGACCAACTGGATCTCCTTCACAAGATTTTTGTATGGATTAAGAAGGGAAACTATATGAGGTCCACAGCAGTGGCCCGACACAGAGCCAGCATTCAGTAACTGTTAATTATTTCTCAGTGCTCTTTACATATGAATGGAAGGGCTAATATCCAGTGCCTTCTCAGCCCTTTACATGTATTATCTCACTCATGTCTCACTATAGCCCCATGAGGTGAGTACTTCTTTTCTTTGTTTTATAGTTGAGGAAACTGAGGCATAAGAACAGGCCTCAGAGACCCTATTCAACTGCTTGCATGACATGTGGAGATCAGTCCTGCACCTTAAACACTCTTGCAGGTGCTTCTATAAAAAAAAGAAAAAGAAAGAAAAGAACTAGCGTTGGCAAGGGTGTGGAGAAACTGAAATCCTCATGCTTTGCTGTAAAATGATGCAACCACTGTGGAAAACAATGTGGAAATTCCTCAAAAAATTAAGCATAGTATTACCATATGATCCAGAATTCCACTTCTGGGCGTTTACCTGAAAAAACCGAAAGCAGAATCTTGAATACTCATGCAGGATTTGCACATCCATGTTCATTATTCACAATAGCCAAAAGGTGGGACCAGCTCAAGTGTCCATCGATGGATGACTGGATAAACAAGATGTGGTCTACTCATACAGTGGAATGTTTTTCAGCCTTAAAATGAAAGGAAATTCTGACAACTCCTACAACATGAATGAACCATGAGGACATTATGCTGAGTGAAATAAGCCAGTCACAAAAGGACAGTTCCTGTATGATTCCAGTTATAAGAGGTCCCTAGAGGAGTCAGATTCATAGAGACACAAAGTAGAAGGGTGGGTGCCCGGGGCTGGGGCAGGGGAATGGGGAGTGAGTTTAACGGGGACAGAGTTTCATTTGGGGAAGATGAAAAAGTTCTGAAGATGAATGGTGGTGATGGGTGCACAACAATGTGAACATGCTTAATGCCACTGAACTGGACACTTAAAAATGGTTAAAATGGTAAATTCTATATTATGTGTATTTTACCACATTAAAAAAAAAGATGTGGGCTTCCAGTCAAGATGGCGGAGTAGGAAAATGCTGTGCTTGCCTCCTCTCATGACCACAACTAAATTACAACTAAATTACAGAACAACCATCGCTGAGAATCACCTGAAGTCTAGCTGACAGAAGTTCTATAACTAAGGGTATACAGAAGAAGCCACATTGAGACTGGTCGGAGGGGCGGAAACACCAAATGGGCTAGTCCCCTCAACACATGTGGCAGGAGGGATATCTCGGCTGCAGAGGTCCTCCCTTAGAAGCAAGGGTCCCAGCCCAACACTAGGCTCCCCAGCCCAGGGATCCAGAGCCGGGAAAAGAAATCCTTACAACCTCTGGCTGTCAAAACCAGTGGAGACCAACTAAATGAGGCGGAGGGCAGCTGAAGACGCAAGCATTCCTCTTAAAGGGCCCGCACACAGATTCACTCGCTGATGGACTCGCTCTGAGCTCCAGGGCTAGAGTGGCAGGCAGCTCGAAAGGCTCCAGGGACATACAGGGAGGAACTGAGTTGTCTGATTTCAGGGACAGGGCTGGAGGGGCATCTTCCTCCCAGACAAGTGCTGGCAGAAGCCATTGTTCCTTTGTTGGGCTCTCCCCTCACCCAGCATGCAGACACAGGTGGCAGCCATATGAGTCTCTATCACCCTGGCTAACAGTGGTCACCCTGCCCTTGCAACTCCCTGAGACGCCACCTCACCCAACTTGTGAGCCCACCCAGACGTTTCCAGTGGCTTTTCCATACCAATGGCCTGTCTTAGCTTATGCTGGGGATTTTTCTAAAATCTCTCAAAGGTTCACAAACCCCAGACAAGCAGCGTCTGGCCTCAGTGTGCCCTGTACCTTTTACTAAGCAGCCCCAAGCTGGCACTAGTGGCAGTCAGCCTCAGTTCACAGCTTAGCCTCTCCCAGGCACCTCAAAACCCTGTACATGCAGCAATCATCTGCAGATCACTTTGTAGCTCATACCAAGCGGCCTCCAGCAGGGCACAGACAGTGGTTGACCTTGGCCTGCACCTGAACCCCTCCCAAGAGTCCTCAGAATAAACACACCAGGTGGTCAGCTTCAGGGCACCACTCAACCACCTCCACAAATGACACACCCAGAGGGCAGATTTGACAGGCATCAGAGCCCTGCCTGCTAAAGCAAATCCTGCTCCACAAGGGTCAGCCCCTGCACAACGGCTCTTCCATTGTAGTCACGGCCAGTCCTCATAATCAATCAGCCTAAGAGTCGTTCCCTCCCAATATTGTGCCAACAGCAATCAAGGGTCAACTACAATAAGAGGGCACACACAACCCCTACAGGGGACACCACTAGAGCACCTGGCTCAGGTGACCAGGGAGATTGTGCCTCTGAACCCTACAGGCACCTACTACATACGGCCACTCTGCCAAGACTGGGAGACAGAGCAGCCCTACCTAATACGTAGAAGCAAACACAGGGAGGCAGCAAAAATGAGGAGACAAAGAAACATGTTCCAAATGAAAGAACAGAACAAAGCTATAGAAAAATAACTAAATAAAATGCAGACAAGCAATCTACCAAATGCAGAGTTCAAAACACTGGTTATAAGGATGCTCAGTGATCTCAGTGAGAATTTTAACAAAGAGATAGGAAACATAAAAATGGAGATAGAAAACATAAAAAAGAACCAGTCAGAAATGAAGACTGCAATGACTGAAATGAAGATTACCTTAGAGGGAATCGACAGTAGTTCACATGAAACAGAGGATCTAATCAGTGATTTGGAAGATAAGGTAGTGGAAACAATCATAACAGCAACAAGAAAAAAGAATCCCCCCAAATGAGGATGATTTAAGGAGCCTCTGGGACAACATCGAACATACCACATTCACATCCTAGGGGGACCAGAAGGAGAAGAGGGAGAACAAGGAATTGAAAACCTATTTGAAGAAATAATAACTGAAAACTTCCCTAACCTGGTAAAGGAAATAAACATACAAGTCCGGGAAGTACAGAGAGTCCCAAACAAGATGAATCCAAAGAGGCCCACACCAACACGTGTCATAATTAAAATGCCAAAGGTTAAAGACAAAGAGACTCTTAAAAGTAGCAAGAGAAAAGCATTTAGTTACCTACACCCATAAGACTGATTTCCGAACAGAAACTTTGAGGGCCAGAAAGGATTGGCACAAAATATTCAGAGATGAAAAGCAAGGACTTACAAACAAGATTACTCTACCCAGCAGAGCTATCATTTGGAATCGAAGGACAGGTAAAGAGCTTACCAGAGCAAGAAAATCTAAAAGAGTTCATCATCACCAAACCGGTATTACAAGAGATGTTAAAGGGACTTCTTAAAGAAGAAGAATAAAAGATTAAAAATGTGAATAACAAAATGGCAATAACTATATATCTATCAACAATTACTTTTTTTTTTTCAGATGTTCTGTTCAGTATTTCCAGAGTCTCGATGTGGCTTCTTCTGTATGTCCTTAGTTATAGGGCTTCTGTTCAGCTAGACTTCGGGCAATTTTCAATCGTAGTTGTTCTTTAGTTTGGTTGTAACGTTGAGATAGTCACAGGAGGAAGCAGCGCAGCACTTACCTATTTCGCCATCTTGACAAGAAACTTCTAGCAACAATTACTTTAAATATAAATGGATTAAATGTTCCAATCAAAAGACATAGAGCGGCTGAGTGGATGACAAAACAAGACCCTTATCTATGCTGCTTACAAGAGACTCACTTCAAATCAAAAGACACACACAGACTGAAAATAAAGGAATGGAAAAAAGATATTTCATGGAAATGGAAACAAAAAAGAAAAAAAACTGGGGTAGCAATGCTTATACCAGAAAAGTAGACTTTATTTTATAATTTTATTTATTTATTTTTTAAATTTTTTTGGAAAAGTAGACTTTAAAACCAAGGCTATAACAAGAGACAAAGAAGGACCCAGTAATCCCACTTGTGAGTAAACAGATGAATGGATAAAGAAGAAATGGTACATATATACAATGGAATATTACTCAACCATAAAAAAGAATGAAATCTTGCTATCTGCAACAACATAGATAGACCTAGAGGCTATTATGGCGAGTGAAATAAGTCAGACAGAGAAAGACAAATACCTTCTGATTTCACTTAGATATAGAATCCAAAAACAAAACAAACAAAACAGAGACAAACTCAAGATACAGAGAATATTTTGATGGTTGTCAGATGGGAGAGAGGTTGAGGCCTGGGTGAAAAAGTGAAGGGATTAAGAAGCTACAAAATAGTCATGGGGAATGTGGAGTATGACATAGGGAATACAGTCAATAGTGTAATAAGTATATATGGTGTCACATGGGTACTGCACTTATTGGAGTATTCACTTCATAAGTTATATAAATGTCTAAACACTGTGTTGCACACCTGAAACTAATATAATGTTGTATGCCAACTATAACTGAAAAATTAAAAATTATTTTTAAAAAAGACGTGATTCTCACCTTCTCCATGACTAAGTTCCATTCCATAGAATTATCATCTGGCTCGTCGTAACCTCTAAATTTCTTCCTCAGGGTCACGAAGTTGTGCTCCAGGGCCACTTCTTCAACCTCAATGAAACAGGAAACCGTGAATACACAGAAGAGCAAGGTGCTCCATTTGGTGAGGTTTCTTGGGGACAGAGCAGGGAGGTGGGGGCTTCCCATTGCATTCCCTCCCCTCAGCCTGGGTCTGCACTGGAGGGCGACAAACTCAGGCTACCATCGCCCCCGAGGGAGGGACACGGGGAGAGCGTGGTCTCAAGCCCAGCGCATCTGTTCGTACCCATCACAACTGAGTTTGAATCATCTGCTCTTTCTAGCCTCCCACATGCCCGCTACACCCCCCACTCATTTGGCTGTAAATTGATTAAAGACTTGAATATCATCTTTAGCAACTGAATCTCTCTCTCTCTCTGCACAAAAAAGAGGTAAATTTAATTTTCTATTTTTTAAATAAAGGTCTAAATTAAAAAAAAAAAAACACGAATTCCCCAAAGAGGTGATATGGTCGCATGTTTCAAAATTCACAAAGCACAGAAGGGTAGACCATGAAACGTCTCTCTCCCACCTTTTTCTCCCAGCCAACAGATCCTCCCACTCCACAGTGACGACTGTCACTGTTTCCTGTGTCCCAAAAGAGATATTCTATGTGTGTCAAAGCAAAGTATATTCTATTATTTTTCTCCTTGCTTTATACTACTCTCGTTCTGCATCTAACTGTTCTCAACAAGAGTAGCGATTGCTCTTGGTGCCCTGCTCGCATCCTGGTGGCCTTTGTCATTTTGTGCAAACTGTGCCTGGCTTCCTACTGCCAGCAACTGAGGGCTCTCTGTGGCCTCTCAGGCACATGTGCCGGGGAGCAGAGCTGGAAGGCGATGGGTCATACTGCAGCTCCCTCGCCCCTGGAGCAGAAAAGCAAGTGCACGTTCTGTGACGTGTCCCAGATGTCCCCCAGCAGAACTGAGCCCAGTTGCCCGCCATGTCCCCTTTCATGGACTGCATTCCCTTCCCTCCCTCACCTCCCCGTGCCCCACAGGTCCTTCTTGATATCAGCTTAAAATAAACCAGGAACTTTGGAATTCTTGCCTCGGAGTTTGTCTCTGGGGGGCTTCAAACGCGGACCTCACTGTATCCTGAGAAATGCACCATCTCGGACATAAAGGGCCTTCTCCTTTCTTCTTTTCACCGGCATCGGACCCCTTTGCGATGATTATAAACTAACCCCACCCCCACCGATGCTCGCTAGGCCCAAGCAATCTTTTGCACATCCTGTTACGTGTGTCATTCTGCCCTCGAACAAACAAATCTTTGGATAATTCCTAAAAATGGGATGATTGCGTCAATGCATCCATCTTTGCCATTTTGATGGATTTTGCTAAATAGCCCTGTTTTCAACAGATTTCCAAAGCCCCGACAACTTTTACTTCTTTTCCCAGCCCACCACCAAATACAGGAGAGATGGTCAAATTAACTCAGCTAGTTTCTTCAGGGCTTCCGGCGGTGGGGGTGGGCGGGAGGCTGAGGGTTTCGGGTTTTCATCCCATCCCTGATCTCCCGTCAGCAGCGCAGAACTGATTGCCTCCTGGTGGGGGTGGGGGGCAGATGGGGGGCTTCTCTTGATCCTATTTCTTTCTAATGGGGAGGGGGAGATGCAGCATTGTACTTAGAATCGGGAGGAAGGCAAGGACCACTGTGGCGGCTGTGATTTCCAGGGTGGGAATAACAACGATGTCCAAGAAGCACTGGAAGACACAGAGGGGGTGGGCATGGGGGGCGGTGGCCGGGGGCCTGCTATGAGTTCCTGCCCCCTCCCAGGCCACACGACTACCCCAGTGTGAAAGAATGCACACCCAGTGGGGTAGGGAGGTTTTTCTTTCATCTGTGGCTTTCCTGCATGTTGTCCAGGATGCCAGCAGTGGGGTACTCTTGGGAGCAGCTAGCTGGCCCTCGATTTCATGCCATGCACTTTATGGGTGTCAGGGAGGCCTCAGTGGGGACCTCCAGGTGGCGTAAAGGCTGTGTGTGTGGATGGCAGTGGCCGAGTGGGGGGAAGGCGGAGGGGCGGTGGGGAGGACAGAGCAAAGGCAGAAGGTGGGGAGGAGAAGCCTCCGACACGCCCGTGTGGGGGGAGGGCTGACGAGGGGGGACAGGTGACAGGCCCGTGGGTGCCAAGAGGAATGTGTCAACATTTGCTGACTAACATTCCCAATTAATTCACTTGCGTGGTGGAAAACAGTGGGAAATTTGGCAAGCGGAGAGGGGTTCATTAAGTTACCATCAAGGAGAAACCACTTCCCTCTCTGGGCCTCAGTTTCCTCAACTGTATAATGTAGGGGTGGGACCAGCTCCGGGGGCCTCTGGGGGTTCGGTGGAGATTCTTAAGGCCAGATGGGAGCAAAGAGGTCAGCTCCTGGGTTCCTTTGCATCTATTTCCATTTATGCCTATTATTGTTGTTGTTGTTAAGACCTGCTTGACAATTCGGGCTTTGAGTCACCAGACTGGCTGGTGGCAGGACTTATCTGGCCTTGACACAGAGAGGCAGGTAAGTGCAGGGGATACACCCTCAGGGTCCCCACAGCTCATAGGGTGTAGGGCTTAGCAATTGTGGGATCTCAGACGAGTGGTCATGTAACTGATTATGAGGATTAATATCAATAGTACTATCTCCCTGCCTCTGGGTGACTGAGATAACCAGGCATCGGCAAGTCCTAGTGGCTTTATCTTCAGAATCTACCCGCAACCTGCCAATTCTTACCCCCTCCACAGCCCCACCGGGTCCAGCCCCCAGTACCTCCCACCTGGACCAGCACAGTTCCTCCGCCCCGCCCCACAGTTCCCCCACGGCCGCCAGAGGGCGCCTGAGAGCACCCGAGCCTCTCAAGTCCCTCCTCTGCTCAGAATCTTCCATGGCTCCCAAACCCATGAAAAGGCCTTCGCTTTTGAGAGTGAGGTCGCAGAAGTTTTGGAGGGATAGATACAGAAAAGCCGATCGAATTTGCCGATGAGTTGGATGTGGGGCGTGAGAGAGAAGACTCTGATTCCTCCAAGGTAAACTATGGATAAAACAGAGTCTACATCATATTGAAGATAAAATGAAATACTGCAGGCACAGCGCCTGGCCAATAAATGTTTGCTGAACTAGGTTATTAAGAAAGTAGATGGGAGATGATGGCGCTTCAGGAAGGAGGAGGGTGGGGCGGGTGCTTTTCACCGTTGGGGTTATCTATGCTCTGGGAGATGATGACTAGAGTGAGAAACCCCCAGACTGAAATAACCAGAGTTTTGTAGCAACGCAGCGAGGAAGGAAAACAAACGCACTGGAGACAGATTACTCTTAAGGTGAGATCATCCGCTCAGACGAGATTCTAAGGGAGGTGGGAATGGGGAAGCTGGGAACTGGATTTGGGGGACCTGTTGGCCAAGGCTTGTGTGAGAATAAGACATGTGAAATCTGAGACATGCTGTCTGCACGATCATGCTTGAAACTTTCATGCCCCATGTACCTGAACATGTGCTTGTGCACATATGACGATTACAGCGTTGTGCTGGTGGGGGCCATGCCCACAGGCTGATGGAAAGAGCGGTGCGCCCAGAACAGACCCGAGCACAATGGAAACTCATAGAGAAAGAGGCGGACCGGAGGGGCCACTCAGTAAAGGGGACAGTATGTTACCAACAGGGAAAACAGTCAAATCAGACCCCTACCTCACACCACGAACATGATTAACTCTCGAAGGCTAAAGTGCTAGAAGCGAGAAAGCAGATCACAACTATGGAGAGAAAACGTAGACTGTAATTTACGATCTCGGGTAGAGAAGGAGCTCTAAACGAGACACAGCATAAAGGAAAAGATGGACGCATTGATGTCATCAAATGAGACACCATAAGCACTGTAAAACAGGAGACGGAAGGGTTCGCGGCAAGTGTAGTGAAGGATTTGTACATGAAAGGAGAGTTTTGGGGGCCGCATGCAAATCCAACTTAAGAACAACAGAGTGCCTCGGCTTTCTTAGGTTGCTCCGTACTACCCGGCAAAGCCAAGCAGCACTGTGATGCAGCCCATCACCGGACACAGGTAGGCAATGTGGAGCAGGTATGCAGAGGACAACTCAAGGACAGCCCGAGGACGGACCCTCGTGAGGACAGCCCCTCTGAACCTGACATAGATGCCCAGACCAATGAGGACCATGCCAGACACCTTTAGAACAGAAATCAGAAAGGGAAGAGCAGTCTGTTAGTTATGTACAAATAGAACTCTCCTGGGAGAGGGAAGAGGAGCGTGAAAGCCAATAAAATTAGCAAAATCATTTAAAAAATGATAATACCTGGTGTTGATGAGGACATGGAGAAACGTTCCCACACATCGCTGCCAGGTAACAAACTTTTTTTGGCGGGGAGGAAGGTGGCAAGAGGACACTTGCAATCCTTATTTAAAACCTTAAGGGTTTTGTGGGGGGGAAAAAAACACTTTACTTAAAAATTCAATTTTTAGATATTCAGCCTAAGGAAAACAGTCATGTATTAGCCTTAGTACCAGGATATTCAGGGATGTTCATTAAGGAGAAACAACAGAAATAACTGAAGAAACCAATAAGACAGAGCAGATAGGTAAATCATGGTATGGCCGTGCAATGGGACTCTAGATATTTATTTGTGTTTGTTTGTTTGTTTGTTTGTTTTAGGCGAGCCAACCCTTCGTTGACATCACAGATTGCAAGGACCTTGTCACCTTACAATCCCTTTTTTTTTTATGCCTATAGCACCTGGTCTTACTAGGTGGTTTCCCATCCAAATACTAACCATGCCACATGCTGCTTAGCTTCTGAGATCAGACAGGATCGGGCTTGTTCAGGGTGGCATGGCCATAGACTCGAGACAGTTATTTTAAATGATACTGTAGGACAGGGAGTGGCAAATTTTTTTTCTGAAAAGCCCCTTTGCAGGCTGTAAGTTCTAGGTTGAAATAACAGCTCTGCCAGTATAGCTCAAGAGAAGCTATACTTGATTAGTAAATAATTTTTAAAGTTTACAAATACATTTAATCTATCTATCTTCTATCATCTGGCTACAGTTTGCCGACCCCTATTGTAGGAGAATGTTTAATGATACAGAAGATGTTTTTCAATGCTTTACTAAGCTTTTAAAAAAGTGAATTGCCAGTAGTCAGACCCCTTGGTATTTGCCCAATGGAGTTGAAAACTTATGTCCACACGAAAACCTGTATGTGGATATTTCCAGCAGCTTTATTCATAATTACCAAAACTTGGAAGCAACTAAGACGTCCTTCAGCAGGTGAATGGATAAATAAACGGTGGTACATCCAGATGGTGGAATATTAGCACTAAAAAGAAATGACCTATTAAGCCATGAAAAGACATGGAAGAACCTTACAGTCATATTGCTGAGTGAAAGAAGCCAGTCAGGAAAGGCTGCGTGGTGCGTGATTCTAAGTATATGACATTCTGGAAAAGTCAAAACTAGGGAGACTGTAGAAGGATTCGTGGTTGCCAGGGAGTAGAGGGGAGGTAGGGGTTAATGGACAGAGCGCAGAGGATTTTTAGGGCAGCAAAACTACTCCATATGGTACTGAAAGGGCAGATACATTATCAGGAGCCGTAGAATGTATAACGCCAAGAGTGAACCCTAATATAAACTATGGACTTTGGGCGATAATGACGTGTCAGCGTAGGTTCGTCAATTGTGATATATGCACCACTCCGGTGGCGATGTTGCTAATGGGGGAGGCCGTGCACACGCAGGGGCAGGCGATGTACAGGAGATCTCTTTATCTTCTGCTCAGTGTTTCTATGAACCTAAAACAGCTCTGAAAAATAAAGTCTATTCGAAAAGGGTGAAAAGTTAAAATTTTTTAAAAGGGAAAAAAAAGAGCATTGTAAAGTGATAGCATTCCACGTTTGTTTTGCTGTTTTTAAAATGTGTATAGAAAAGTCTAGAAGGACTGAATGATATTTTTGAGCAATGTTCCATAATAGGTCTAAGCCCTTTAAGTGCACTGTCTCATTTAATTCCCGTCAAAATGTAACAAGAGGAGGAGTGATATTTAATAGCCTTCTCTTTCCTGATTGCCTACTATAAAAACAATTACTTATTGAAGAATTCTCATTTTGAGTTATTTTTATAGTAAGAAAAAATGTTTTGAAAATTTAAAGGACCAAGAAAATGACCACTCCCTCCTGCCCTCCCCAAACCATTTAGTTTTCTGCAGGATTTGACTTAAAGCCAAGCTCTCTGGCCACTGACTCTGGGACCCCCAGAATTCAGCGGTCCCCAACCTTTTTGGCACCAGAGACCAGTGCTCCTATGAGAATCTAATGCCTGATGGTCTGAGGTGGCTCTGAGGTGATTGATGATGCTAGTGCTGGGGAGCGGCTGCAAATACAGATGAAGCTTCGCTCACTCGCCTGCCGCTCACCTCCTGCTGTGCAACCCAGTTCCTAATAGGCCATGGGCCATTACCGGTCCGCGGCCCGGGAGCTGGGGACCCCTGCCCCAGATCACACTCCTGATTTTCACCAGCTCTGAGTCGATGGAGGCTACGCCTGTTCCTCATGTGTCCTGCTCCTCTTCAGTCTGCCCTACATCCCTCCTGCTCCCCTGGGGACCACAGATCCGGATGCCAATGAATTTGGATCAACTTATTTCTGTATTCGAAGGAGCCAGCCTTGGAGGAAGGGCTGTGAAGCCTGGGGGGCCTGGATTGTGACATACTTACAACCATGAAGTCATTGAGGAAAGATAAGTTTCTTCAAGGCAGAATAAGGAGTGTGCATTTCAGCCATGTTGGCCATACTGGGGTGCCCTGGACATTTAAGTCAGCATCTTCCTAAACCTCTGGGCTACAGCTTCCTGAGATGGTAGAAGTCTGGGGAGGGGGCACCAGAGCTGACTCACTCTACCCCTCTCTCCTAGCTGCTTGATCGTCTGCAGAGGAGGGGCTGAGCAGCACCCTTCATCAGTCATAAGCCTTTATCACATCACAGTTGGACGCTGGACCAAGGCCCCCAGTGCTGGAGAAGCAGGTGCCCCAAACTGCCCCCTACTGGATCCTCCAAATAGGACACACCGGAAGTAGAGAAAAGGCATGATGTGACACCCTGGTACCCCCAGATGCCACCGGGACCCTGTGGGCAGAGTGCTCAGCACTGACCACTCATGTGGTCGGCATCCCCCGATAGACTGGGGGTTCCAAGGGGGGCAGGGGCCTGGACTGTCCTATTCACTGCTCTGTTCCCAAAGCCTGGTACACAGTATGTGCTCGAGAAACCAGTGTGGAGCAAATGAGTCAAGAAGCTCCATGACACAGGAATCTAACTACAAGCTATCAGGTCCCCAAAGCCCCTGGCCACACATTAGCTCATTTGGCTCATCCATCTCACAGGGCTCAGAGAGGCCAAGATAACTGCTTGAGGCCACACAGGAAGCAAGGTCAAGGCTGGGCTTTGAAGCTCCGTAAGTGGTATGAAGGTGGGACCTGTGATCCCTCCCTACCCCAAGAACCTGTCCTTTCTCCATCTGGTGAAGCAATTGTCCTTGACCCCAAGTACCACTGATCACTGGGACTTTCTTGATAACAGACATAAGTGGTATGAAGGTGAAACCTGTGATCCCTCCCACACGAAGGTCTGAGGTGCTGGAGAAGCAGCCTGTCCTTTCTCCATCTGGTGAAGCTATTGTCCTTGACCCCATGTACCACTGATCACTGGGACTTTCTTGATAACAGAAGCATAGAGGGCATTTCAGGGCAAAAAAATGTGTACATGGCCAGAGAACCCCGAGGCCCAACTCCTGCAGTCTTTAGCCTACACTGTCTGCCTGCCCCTCACACCACCTAGGTCCATGCTACACGGGCCTGTGCCCCTTCTGTCCAGCCCTGGGCTGGAGCGTGCCTGTGTCCAGGTCCTGAAGGCTCAGCTCTTTTCAGAATCTTCTGTGACCCCTAGGGCCCCGCTCAAAGGAAGGAAATAACTTACACTTGAATTAATCTAATGAATGTTTGTCAAATCTCCTGCTTCTTGAGACATGTAGAACTAAGCAAGATGTTTCTGGAAGAGGGACTGTCTTCTCCTTAGACCACGGGCCACGTTCACAGCTAGCGGTGTGTCCTTCTCCGTCTTTCTCTACGTGGTCATTTAAAATAAAGACCCTCAGATCCCTGGGGGAAGGGGGCGGATGAGGGGATGGAGCGGGGGAGTGGTGTGGATGGAGGGGCGCGGTGGAGAAACTCTGTGGTAGGACACTGTGCTACCTACCAGGAAAGGAGGACATTGTGCGTGCTGCTTAAGGTGCCCCCATCTGTGGCCCCGCCTGCCCCCAGCCTCCCTTCTACCCCAGCCCCCCGCCCGCTCCGCCGCCCTCTCGGCCGCCGGCTTCACTTCAAGGCAGACGCCGGGTTCTCGGCCTTGCGCTCCCCCTGGTGGCCGTCACCGGAAGCGCAATTCTACGTGTGCCATCCTGGAGTCTACCTGCCCGACACATCCAATAGTACCTCTGTCCCCCAGAGCCTCGGCATGGCCTGCCAGCGTGAAGAAATGGAGAGACAACCCCCATCCTCCAAGTACCTTTAACACACGTCTATTGAAATGATGAGAAGAGACAAAACTGTGCAGGCATCCAGCGGATTACAAATACAAACCATTTGGCAAAATAGTATGCAGAAAACCAGTGTAAATTTATCAGTGACAATTCAAAGGTTCTAGAAAACAGTGAAACGCTCCTCTTAAAATGGCACTACAGAGCCATTTGGATGACATTTAAATACCATTGTAGAAATAACACAAGAACCACTCCAATATTTCCTTAATAACAGGGTTTAGCATGTGTTGACATAGTGATAATTAATTTTCCCACCTGCTTGGTCTCCTTCCTTAAATTTTAGGAGCATGATTCCCAAGAAAATGGAGTGTCTTAAATACACACATACACATTTATGTCAAAAGCCCGTGTTTATCTATGAACCGTCCTTCTTAAATTTATGTATTTGTCATCCACGGCAACCACAAGGGGCTAAGAAAATAGATTCACCTGGTTGACTGTTCATGTGACACTTGCAGCATCGATATATTGGTGTGTTTAGGGCCCACAGAGCCTGGATCCACCCTTGATAAGTGGTATTTTATGCTTTAAGATATTTTAGTAACAATCATTGGGGGAGGAGGTGACAAATCAGAATCCACCATT